AATTGAACCCAGAGAGCCCGTTGTTGCCCTGAGGTGTATCGTAAGCTCAGCGCACTGCGTCCTGGAGCATTGCAAAGAATGAACGTACAATATAATATATGTAAAAGGCCCACAGCTCAGTACGTGTGGTTACCCACTGAACCCGACGGGCAATGGGTTTGCTTTCGAACGTGGGCTCAGTGAGCTGGGGTTGCTCGACCTCGGCCTCGATGCTCTCCTTGTCCTTTTCTGCGTCTGACATGACTGTCGCTCGCAAACTGCACTCTGGTGGAGCCCTCTCAATACTCCCATGCGCGGTCCGGTCATTATTTGATCTTTTCTCGGCGCTGGCTGAAATGAGGGTGCTTCGATTTTTCAATCATTAGAGATTCCCTGCAAGGCAGGCGTCCGAGACGGAGCCTGGAGACATCTGATGGCGCTGATCCCGCTGCCGCATCCAGCAATGCATCGGAGACTGGGAGTCTGGGACTCACGAGATCATCCGTCCCGCAACTTGACCGCACCTCCAACGTTTTGCGTAGTGTCGTGCCCAACGACGTGCTCGGATGCTTCGCGCTGCGAAACTGATTGGTTCAGGCCGGGGTGCGGTGAGGGTGTCTGTCCGTCGGGTAAGTCGCCAGCATACATAATTGTGAGTGCAACTCACCTTGTGAAAGCGGCTTGCGACGGAGGCCTCACCGACACTGGTCCCGAAGAAGAGGCACCCCGTTCGCCGATTCGTACTCTACACCGCAGGCGCGACGGCAACGTTCTATGTTAGCAGCACGTTCGTCTCCTTTGCCATCCCGCAATACCACGATTTCTTCATCGAGAATGTCCCCCTCGGTGCTTCGTTCCTCCAGTACGCAGAAGACCATGAGTGGGATACTCTCTCCGTCGAGAAGGTCGTCGACTCAGCTTCGAAGAGCGTTGCGTACGTGCAGAGCTTCTTTACCACTGAAGAGGCAAACAAGGTCGTCGAACGCACGAAGGGTGCCCTCGAGCGGACCAAGGAAGCGTCCAGGGACCGGATGCAGTCTGTTAAGCAGTCCGTCAAGACCTCCGTCAGCAAAGCTTCCGATGAAGTCAAAAAAGATGCTGCTATAGCTAAGCATCAAGCGACTCAGTTCTCGGAGGGCGTTGAGGACCTCGTACGACGCGCCGAGGATGCGCTCGCCGGAAGGGCTCCCGTCCCGAAGCCTGACGCGCCGACCACGCCTTCGCAGCCAGAGGCTGCCACCCCCACTATTGACAAGAAGGGGAAAGGCGTGTATGATGTTCCACTTCCTATTGGCTTCGAGCCGCCTCCGGGCTACGCGAAGCCCGCACAGCCTAAGCCTGCACCCACGGAGAAGGCTGCACCAACCAAGGGGGACGTCACCCCGTCACCACCTGCCCATAAACCTCTTCCTCTGGTTGCCCCGGCTGTCCGCGAATTTGCCGCATCTGAACCGGTCATTGCCCAGCTCGCGACTGTCATCGACGACCTTGCGTCTTATGTGAACACCAATCCCACTGCTGCTGAGAAGGCACGCGACGTCCTTGACACTGCCAAGATCGACCTCACACAGCTCGCGTCGCGCATCGAGCAGGTCAAAGAGGAGGAGCGCCGCGTTCTGGAGGCGAAGCTCGACGAGCAGACGCGTGAGTACACGCTCAAGCTGCTTGAGATGGAGATGGAGGCGCAAGACAGACTTGACAGCCAGGAGGAGGGTTTCCGTAAGTTCTTCGACGAGGAGAAGAACAAGTTTGTTCAGGCGTACCGCGAGAAACTCAACCGCGAGCTGCAGACCCAGAGCGAGATCATCAACGAGCGGTACGTGGTTGTACATATCTCACTTAGATGGTACTGACATTGCCACAGCCTGAAGGAGGAGGTAATAGCACAAGGCATCGAACTGCAGCGACGCTGGATTCGCGAGATCAAGATGCGCGTCGAGCAGGAGCGCGGCGGCCGTCTCGCCAAGCTCGACGAGCTTTCCACCAACTTGAAGCGCCTCGAACGCATTGCTCTCGATAACTCTTCCTATCTTGACGAGAACCTACGCGTGCACGCACTCTGGTCTGCTATTCGCGCCCTCGGCCACGCAGTCGATGCTCCCGTCCGCAAGCCTTTCCGCGACGAGCTCCGTGTACTTAGGCACATTGCCGCTGCGCGGGAAGACCCCGTTGTTGTCGCCGCACTTGACACTCTGGACGCAACAGACACCCCCGACATTGGCGTCGAGCCGCTCGGTGACCTCACGATCTGGTTTACGACTTCGGTCGCGCCTAAGGTTGCCGCTGTCGCGCTCGTGCCGGACCAGAATGCGGGCGTGCTCTCACACCTCGCATCGCACTTCCTGTCGTCTTTCACCTTCAAGCGCCAAGGTCTGGTTCCTGGAGGTGACGTCCTCAGCGTAATTGCGCGTGCGGAGTACTACCTGAATGAGAAGGATCTGGACGGCGCGGCGCGCGAGCTCAATCAGCTGAAGGGCATCGCCAAGATCCTGCTCTCTGACTGGTTGAATGCCGCTCGGAGACGCTTGGAGGTCCTTCAGGCTCTTCAGGTGAGCTTGTCGTCATGAGACACGCACCAATGCAGCGGCTTACGATCTATTTGTCTAGGCTGTGGAAACACAGGCCACTCTGGCCTCTCTGCTAGTCGCTCAAGATTAGACACGCTCATTTGTTACCCAAAATTTCAGTGGACAGCGTTAGATGCTAGAGTTTGTCTTCGGTCAGGGAAGCCATTAATATTCCGGCAATCATGGAAATTGTGCGTGCATGGCATCAGTTTACTTGTGTAAGCTTATATAGCAGCCATTTGCGATATGCGGGCAAATGTGGCTGTGGAAGGTCAAGGGACCCACTGCTGTACAGCGCGAAGCATCTGGTCCTTCGCTGCAGGATCCGCCCAGAAGTGATTTGCCCCTTCGATTCTTGACGTCTGCAAGCGTGCCTTGCCGTCGCCCTCGTTCTCGTGTCGCAAGCTCTCTATCCATGCGTCGTAGCTCTCTACAGAGGTAAACTCGTCCTGGTCACCGTAGATGATGAACACATTCGCACGTGGGTCCTGGACGAGCGTGTTCAGCGCGGTAGTGTAATGCTTCCCCCGGAATGCCGTGAGCCAAGCCCGTGGACCTAGCGGATACGACAGCAGGATGTGCGTAACTGTGGTGGTGATAGCTTCGGGCAATAGAGGGAAGAGCGACGCTATCAGTGAGCCGTGCGAGTAGCCCTGGCGCTGCCTGTGAGTCGATCACACGACGACATCGCAAGACTCAGGACGTACTGCTACAACGACGGAAGTAACGCTGGGCAACTGAGCTGTAGCCCACTGTACAAGCTCTTCGAGGTCCTTTGCCTCTTGTGTGCCAGTAAACGAAGGCCAGCCAGAGGACTTCCCGACGCCCCGAGAATTATACCGCAGTACGCAATATCCATTACTTAGTAGTGGGCCCTTCAGTGCATGTAGGACTCTGTGTATGCAGTGGGTGAATCCGGCGCAGGTGCATGAGAGAGCGGGGCTTCAGTGCAGTATGCCAAGAATGACGCACGGGTCGTCCATTCGTCCGCCAAGCCAGGACCATGGATGGAGGCACACTGCAAGCTTCGAGATAGAGGACGGCGAGTAGTTCGGTGGGAGGCTGAAGGAGACCTCGAGTTTTAGCCCCGAGGGAAGATGGATCTGTTCGTGCGAGAAAGCCTGTAGAGTAGACATATTGTGAAGATAGCATTCAAGACCACTGCGGTCTCAGGGAATGCGCAGCGCGTCCAAAAGAGTATAGATATTGTGTCTCAGGCTAGGGTCAGAATGCAGGTGGTAGTGGTAGTGGTAGTGGTAGTGGTGGTCGCAATGAGAGTATCGACGCGCGCTCTGGAGCCGAACGCGTCTCATTTCACCTTTCACCGCAACACCATTTATATGCTCAGTCAACAGATGCAACACCCCTCTCGCTTGTAGCCTCTATTATGATCATCCCAGTCAACGTCAATATCGCTGGATCTTCCTCGACACCTCTTCCACCACAATTCGCACAGTACGGGACGGACGAAGTGGTCCTTGTCGAGCTGCAAGGGGAGTTGGACGTCGAGGGTGACACAGGAGGTCAATTCGTGGGGAAACTAACGATAGACAACGACACTGTGAGTTATAACGCGTCCTCGTTAAACCACCAATTTTCGACGCGTCGACACGTAGAAAAAATCGACACTACTCATTGGCCACCACCTGCTCGAGGGGAAACTCGTGAACTTGAACAAACCTCTGGCGGTCATGCACAGACAGCCAAGACCTGAAGACGCGGACCAAGACATAGATGCGGATTCACAGCCCAGGCACGAGCCGAGCGTGCCTCCACAGTGGGATATCATTGCGGTGGTAAAGCGGAAGATGGTCTTTGCAAAAAGGCCCATGCCAATGGTTGGGAAGTCTTCAATGACAGAACCCCCCATGAAGAGTTGAACGTTGTCTGCAACCTTCATCTTACACGCCATGACGAGAGCGAAACTCGTATTGTACCAGTACGACGTACCTGTAATCCATCCGACCCTTCTCAATGCACCACTCTTGTATCGCACACAGAAGTCAGATTTTGGTGACAGCAGCATATATTGAGAACGTGCGGAAGAGTAGCGAGGTATGTAGTTCACCACCTGTGTCAGATTCTCTCCTTTCAGCCCGCTCCAGCCTATTCATGAGTATCAGCCGAAGCGACACCTCTAGACCGCAGATAGACCAGTCAAAGCGGAGAGAACCCAAGCACGAGCAGAAGAACAAACGAAAGCACAAAAGCCAACGCTAACGTTGCTCTAGGAGACTGGAACGCGGACAAGGAGACGGAAGAGCGACCCACGAGCCCGAACTTTTGTGTCTCCACGGATTTGTTCAAAGATTTTCGAGAGCGAGCGCGCGCGAATTTAAGGAGGATAAGACGCCCATTACGTAAGCCGTCTCTGTTTCCGCTTTCAGGCGCTTCCAGGGCTGCGTCATGAGATTCACGCGCATGTCAGACGCCGACGGTTCCGAACTCCAAGTAGCCGGACAACGCCCACGACGACGAGTAACAACGACTTTGCGTCTTACTTGACTCCTCGAATACCGATCAGAGCAGGTACCTCGTGAAGACTGGAATCTGAAGACATGTCGCAGAAGAACGACTCGCTGACGTTGACTCGCGTCGAAGACCTCACGCTTGGCGTAGCCGCGTTCGTGCCGGACGTGCCTGCGCTGAACCGTCTGGTGGCTTGTGTCGGCAGTGCTGGTGGAAAAGAGTTCAGTGAAACAATCGTCTCTACTCCTCCAGAGTCACTCATTCTGTCACCGCATGCAGCAAGTTCCTTGCGGTACGTACTTCATGCTCCTGTTCACACCGGCCCGAGACTCACTGGACGAGATGTCGCGTAGCTCGTGCAGTATACTCTGAAACTTGTTGCTCAGTTTCTTGCATGGCGTGCGCAGGTGCAGCACCGGGCGGGTAGGAGGCTGGCGCCTACCAGTGATGCTGCTCCTGCATTGACCAAGTTTGCGGGCATCATCTCTGACGCGCGTATGGTCCATAACATCACTAGTCAGTTACTATACTTGTTCATTCTTTTGCATCCTGACTGACTTTTACAGGTATGTTTGGAATGTGGCGGTGGCTGAAGGCCATTGAATCTCAGCCGTACAAGACGAGGCGGCTGCGAACCATCGAGCGGCTTCAGGGCTGGTCAATCCTCCTCTACTTTCCTCTCGAGCACATCTGCTATCTCATTGGCCACGGAGTCCTGCCAGCACAATGGTCGATAGGCCGTCCCGCCGCCTCTCAGCTTACCAATGAGAAGATCCAGTCAGGGACTGTCAAGGTCGATGTCGGCAAGCTCACTCGGATCTCGATGGGCCTGTGGGGCCTATATACCGTTCTCCAGCTGCTGCACTATCGAGAGGACCTCAAGGAGCTTGTTGAGACTGGAGTGAGTCTTAGTAAAACGAAGGTCAGGCTTGCGGTGATTTTCCATCTTCCATCGCTCATCCCTCCTCAGGCGGACGCTACAAAGCAGAAACTGTCCGAGCTCAAACGCAAGCGGACCCTCATAATGGGAGAGACTATTGCTCAGCTTTGCAATCTCCCACTCGCCATTCACTGGTGCGTCTCTTTCTTGATAGCGGCCGATGCACACGGTCTCTGCATGTGTTCATCGTCTCTGCATCGCGTACTCTCTCCGAAATGTTGCCGTAACATGCATTCCCTATCTGACGTGCACGAAACATGTTACCAAGCCGCTGGAGCTGCAAGATACCCTCGTTTCTCTCGCTTTGACTTGGGCTGTGCGCGATGTTCTATAGAGAAGTTCTATAGTCTCCCGCGGCTCACCGTTATCTCCACAATGGGCACTTGACCCGTGCAACGCTCTACTATATAGGGTGTTTGCCTTTGGCTGTGTCTCCAAAGGCGCGCACGGCCGGCATGAACAGGGCATAGTGTGGATGTCGTGCAGATGGTGTCAGCATGGTGCGCTGCGCTCTCCATATCGTGGAGTTGGCAAGTTCCACATATTGTGGAGGCGGTGCGAGATCCGCCGCTAATTTTGCGTAACCTGCACTTCTTCCCCTTCCAGTGATCGATAGGACGCGGATCGGCTCAAGACACGTACATGTGACGGCAGCCTAGTCAGCATGGAAGAACGCCATGAAACCTTGTACGACGTGGGTGTGAGGGCTGTGTAACGAGACATCCATTGTCCTGCGGTTCATTGGCCTTGCTGCATGGTCTGGGGCCTGCAGGAAGAGAGCTTGTGCGGAGATCGATTGCTTCTCCGGCTTGCGATATTTTCGAACTGTACAGGACTTCGAGGTCGTGGTCATTACCGCGGCCCCGTGCGCTTCTCTGGCTCGCTGCGAGTTGTCCTCATACCTTCCTCGCCTTGTAGCTCCTTGGTCCTTTCGTATTCTTCACTGGCTCCGTGAAAATAATCTATGTACCTACGCTGACCTCCTTTTACTACCAACAGGGGCACTGGAAGCACTCTAATCAAGAGCGAAGTAAGCAAGTTTTTTTTAACCCTGCGTCCAAGGCTCACGTGTCGTCTTTCAGCTTGTCGTCAATCTTTTGAACCTGACTGCCAATTTGGCAAGCTTCAGGTCGTTATGGATAACCAACGGCCCACCTCCTGATACCGAGGACGCTGTAACGGATCCAGATATTCTTGCGCCTGTGGGGCTGGATGCTGGTCTGGATGAGATATGAGATCTGATATCTACGCTTAGGTGCGTGTTCAGTGTCATGTCGTATTGTTGACACCGCTTAATCATGCGTAGGCTCGTATTTCTGAGGACATCGTTATGAATGGTCTACCATACGCTTGTTATGCTGCGTTGGTGAATGGATCTAATCACTGGCAATGGCATGAGATACCTGGATTTCTTTCTTTCAAGATTGGATATCCACCTTTAACTTCGGTACGTAATCATGAACCACAGACGCCCCTTCTGTCGTGGTATAAGCCTTTAGCTTCATCTTGTGGTGGATGCAGAAAGTTGACTTCAACTCTCGTCGTGCTCGCGGTTGACCAGCGTCTCCGGCAGTCATCCACTCGGCAATTGCCTGACATGTGCTTGGAATCTCGCAACCCCGCCATCCCTCACCCGCCGTCTCGCCGAGTCCCCGCTGCTAATCGCAGTTCGTCGCAGACATCGATCCTGAGCTGGGGCTGCGTTAGGAAGGATCCACGTGCGGCGATGCAAGGGGGCGACGGCTTCTTCTCAGTCATGCTGTTCAGCCTCGCGTGCTGGCCGGTGGACCCACAGTTCTAGGTTATCAACCTGCGTTGATCTGCAGGCGGTGGTCATAGAGCGGCTGTTGTCTCTCCAAGCTCCTGGCCCGTCGGAGTGCCGTGCACCACGGACGAGTACATAATCGAGTCGCACTTCTATGCTCTTGCGCGACTCTAAATGCACGAGAGGACAAGGTTGGAATTGGAGGTCGCGGGTGTGGGCCGTGTGCCCGCGGCGGCCTGCGAACGGTCCGCCATCATGCATAATCTCACGAATACTACGCTTTCCAAATTCGGAAGAGTGGCGGGAGGCGTGGCAGTGCGTAGGAAATGAGGTGGGGCAAATTTCACCTCGAAATCTTTTTTCTCTCTGTTGTGTTTCGTTTCATCCACGCTGCCCGCTGCAATCTTCTGGATGAACAGGCAGGTCGTAGATACGAAAAGACACGTCAACCTGCATCAACTTTCTTTGCGCCGCTCCATACGAGAAAGAACACAGCATCGGAGCTCGTGTCGGGCCTGCGCTGTCCCGCTTGCTGGGCACGGCCCGGTCGAGAACGACGACCGCTGTTTCTGAGCATGCTCGCGACGTTCGGAAGTCAAGACCATGCGCACATCTCACAGCTTCATCGGGCATTCTTTTGTCTGGCGTCTCGAATGAGACGATAGCACGGTTCACCCTCAGCCCAGGTGGCGCAAACGGTTTCAAAAAAACGGGAGGGCAGTGCACGTACATGTGTTCCAGGTCCTAATGACAACTGACCGCTAGGGCGCGGTGGCCAGCAGAGATTCCATCCGGAAGCGGCGCAGACTGGCGTGCCAACGTGCCAACGTTCAGGGGCCCTGTTCGCCGTGCCCTACTGTTCTCGAAGAGCAGCTGGCAGTGCAGAAGCTGGTAGCACGCAGAGCGGATAGTACGTCTAGAAGAGCGGCGTTCGGCCAAAATAAGAATGTGAGAATGGCACGGATTTAGTTCGTGGAAAGTGCTTTTAGAATAGCTGCGTGCGATGTACCGCGAGAGTAGTTGCGTACGCTTGCAGTGGCTCACGTATACCATTAGTCTTGTGTGCTATTGCTGTGTGCAACGAGAGCCAAGAAGTTGTGCAAGTTTAGTGCACCAAAACTTATATTTTAATAACAGTACATCGTGCCTTTTCTCTCGGCGCCAGCTGACAGGGCTGTCAGGCGGGTCAATACACGCCTTTTCGACGTTGATCAAGGTTCTAGTCTGAGGCGATGTGCCGAGATGTGGAGTGTAGCTATCACGGTCTTCGTCTGACGATTCACAGTGCCCATGAAATGGGAGAAACGTGCCGCGGTCCAGTATGGCTGGCTCCGTTTCTGCGAAGCGCATGAGGTCCCTATATGCACGTTCTCGAAGGCTAGAAGGGCTGTGTACGCGGACATGTATTGGCGGTGCGGGTCACCCGGGGAGATAAGCGGTGTCTGCAGGCGGGAATAGATTAGCCATGAACAATGGATCGTGCACGAACCCCCTAACCTTGATATTTCATTCGTATGAAAATGCGTGTATTTGGTCTTCAAATGTAGCTTTGCAAATCGAGAATGATACAGCCTCTTGCGTAGCTAATTGGAGATTAAAATGTTCCCAGGTATCCCGCTCGACAAACTCTAGAAGGTTGATAAGGTCAGCAGACGGTGTCTGACAGACAGCGAAGTACGCGGAGGTGCTTCAGTCATCTGTAAAGAGACCTGACTTAAATCAGAATCAGTAGCATAGCCATCGGAGTGACCGAGGACGAGGAACTGTATACTCGCGAATGTTTGCTGTAGAATGACGTCCGACTTTACGTACCGAAAGTGCAACATCATTGCCCTCAGTGGTGTGTTGATATTCGTGTCTGGCTTGAGCACCGGTATAGCGTATCCTTTGGTATGACGTGCTTGATAGATTATCTACGACAAGTAGTGCACGCCAGTTACCCTCGGTTTTATGAAATGCCTTGCCACGCTGGGATTTCTTGAGGCAGCTGACTATTCTGAAAAGGAAACGTGAAACAAAGTAGCTAGTTGATGTGCTGTACGACGATGTCTAGCTAGCCGTACTCGTGAATTTGACAGCAAGAAGGAAGGAAACGGCCTTTCGATACACGTACGCGCGCAACTGGCAGGTGTTATAGAAAACGGCGGGTCCTCGGCTGAATCAGTAAAGGATAGTGCCTTTGCATCTAGCCCGACGTCGCGTACCCTGATATGCGTGCACGTCGGAGCACAGGCTTCAAGGCACGTCGAGTCATCGTTGGAAAGCGCACGACCGCAATATGACCAAGACGCCGAGCGCTGCCGAGCAAGCGACGCGCAGCCAAGATGGAAAGGCGTCGGGCCGTCCTCGATGCGAAAATGCTTCATGCGAGAAGTATTACGGTAGGGGGGCAGTGCGCCACAGCGGCTTCCGCGCCAATACGTTGGCGCTGCTAGAAGCACCCATAGCGGCTTGTCAGGCGTCCACCACACGAATGTACCCTGAGTCTCGGGGCCAGTTATGCGTGCGTTTCATGGGGGCTGTACTCCAGCGGAAACATATGACCGACGTTGTAGCTGGGCTTGGCCCGCTCGTCGCCTCGCCTTGGCGCGCGTGTCGCACTCAGGGGAGTGAAAAGTCGAGACTTGCGTCATCTACCAGGAAGACAGCGTCGTACGATCGCCCAGCAGGTACAAGAGGCGTAATCCATGTCCGAGGCCGAAGTTATTTCGTTATTGCAAAGTGAGAGCGTGCATGGTCCGCTCCAGATCGAGACGAATGCGGTGCGATAGGATAGGGTCATAGTTGTGTGCAGTAACCAGTGCAACACACCCCTCCCTCTTTTGTCGATTCTGCCTCCGCGAGCGTGACAAATGCAGACTGCGGCCCGACCCACAGGCTGAACACGCTTGATCGTTCTCACTGCGGATGCATTGATTAGCGGTTAGCTTCGGATTAAATATTCGAGTTACAACAAGTGTCGTCGTACGGACGGCGCGGACTGGCTTGAGCTGGGTTGACCTCGCAAGAGGCTGGAGCGAACTCGGTGAGATCGGGTCGGCAGTTGCCGTGCTCGGATATGCGCTTCCCCATTTGGGAAGGCGTCGTGGTTGGAGCGCACCATTGACGATCTGGCGCACGATGCTCGCAAGATCTTGAGACTATGCAGTTGATGCATTGATTTGTCCTAGTAACGATAAAACCATCGATTCAGTAGGTTCAATCAGGATTCGCATCATCGCAAAGCCGAACCGAAAGCATATCGTGGCTGTAGTACAAGTAATGCAACGACCCTTGACTAGGACACACGTTTCCATGGACCCTTGCTGGCTGATGATCCTGTTTGCAGCGTGGCTCAAAAGTCCTTCGATTGGCGACAGGTTGACACAGAGATTACTGGGTTTAAAACTATACCTTACGTCCAGGACCAGAGCTGAGCTTTACCAAAGTAGTCGACGCAGACCAAGATTCTTGCGAGATAGCGAAGACGAAGCGCGCCGCAGATCGCTGCGTGGCAAGAGATGCCTAGGAGCAGAAGGGATGGACATGAGTCGTAGTCACTGGCCATAGTTGACTACAGAGAGAAGCAGCTTGGGGAGCATCATTCTGAGATTAGTATCACTGGATCCAAGTACGCCCGTCGTTCGATCATTCAGTGACGTATGATCTTGTCGATGTTGAGTACTGCCCGTACGATGTATATGTATCTGCCTTCCATTAGCTCTCACGAGTCACGAGAATGGATATCCATGGAAAATGCCGCAGTCATATTTCCTGGAAAGAATCAGCGTGGACAGGCGTACCTCGTTTAGTTACCGGCTCTGCATGTGCATTCGGCTTGGCCTCGGCAGAGGTCGGAGATATTATCGGAGTGAGATCCTTTGTGCAGCGGCAGAAATCCATTGTCAACGCGAGTAGACAACATCTAGCACAAGGTCGGTGTAGAGAGTGATGTGTTTGTCTGAGATGCACCTGCGCAACCAGAGGTACTGCTTAGGACGACGTCTTGGTACTGATCATCAGGCATTCCCAAGAGCCTGAGCCTAATACTACACACCTCAGTAGGGTGTGTCCAAGGCTACGATAGGTGCACGAGCCTGTCCGAGGACAGACGGGAACAAAGTACACGCGAAGACGGGGCTAAGCACGCCACAGAGGCACAGTACTTAGGCTTTAACCGCACAAACAACGCTTTGAATGTCGCAGAAAGGGTCTGAAGGAAGAAAAGTCCGAAGAATGCCTACAAAGACAGATACGAGTCGCCGTCGTGGGAAACAGTGTACATCGCCTAGGCCACAGGTTGCACACCACCGCAGAAGCCCTTTGGCTGAATCCAGAGCACTGCTGAGGCGTGTATTAATCCTCTGGGACTTGTATATAGTTAGGGGAGAATGTGGATGCACGCACTGCTACCTGCGGGCGCAAGTGAGGATACCAAGAGATTGGAGCGCGGAAGCGCTCGTTTGGTTATGGCGGTGCATCGCTTCGATTTCGAACTCTCAGTTCTTGGCCAGCTTCCCCATGCCGTTCCGCCTTTAAGGCCCTTTACGATCTTTACTTTTTCTTCTTCCCTTCGCCATTCTGTCCTCTCTTGCCCATAATAATGTCTACCAATAATTCCGCAGACAACCTCAACCAACTTGGTGACAGCGAGCTTGGGATTCCCTCTATCCAAGTTACCACCGACTTATCTACTCCACGGCTTACTCTGGCGTCGCCGCCAGACGTTGGGAGCTCGTTCTCAGACTCTTACTCTCCCCTGGGGAGTCCGCCATACGAATCTCGCTCGCGCTCTCCCTCAGAGCAGGGGTTGCTCTCGCCCGTCCCTATCCTGCGCTCAGGACGACCGTCGTTGGACGTGCCGTCATCACCGACGGGTTCCAGCTGGGGTTCTGACGGCTCGACGCATGTGCCGCCGTCACCGACGCTTTCGACTGCCTCGTCTGTCCATTTCGCCAACCAAACCACCCTGGCGCTGCGAGACAACAATCCGTCTGAGCGCTCAGGACTTTCTTCCTTACATCTTCTCTCCGTAAACGGTCACGGGCATGGCCATGCTCGCAAGAACAGTAATGCCAGCACGCTCGACGGGAGTACGGAGGGCACAGAGCCCGACTCGCACTCCATCGGCATGGCCACCCTGGTCCCGACGCTCTCGCCGACGCCCTCCCAAACGTCCAGCGTCGGCGGTACGACCGTGCACGAGCACGAGCGCTCGTCATCCCACTTGCATTTCCAGGTGCCGGAAAGGAAAGACAAGGGGGAGGAACACGACGAAGCCGAGACCGAGACGGAGCGCCCTGTGCTCGACCTTACGCAGGACGAGGGTATCGATCCAACGCCCTTTGCGTTCAAACCATATCAGCTAGCGTCCTTGGTTGACCCGAAAAACCTTTCAGCTCTTACCCAGATGGGCGGTACAGACGGGTTGCTCAAGGGTCTAGGAACACACCCTAAACACGGGCTACCGATTCTTTCAGGATCCTCACATGTGGATATTGGGAAAGGGAAGAAGGTCGACGTACTGGGTGATGGGCGGCCAGGGACAGGGACACCGCCGCCGGGTGCGGGAGATGGGGCGTCGCAGCGTCACGACAGAATAGCGGGCGACGCGGAGACAGGGGCGGTGCCGGGGATCATGGTTATCGGCGATGACGGCGAGGCGGAGGAAGCGAAGATGGAGGGCTTGGAACCCCGGTCTGAGATGGGACATATCGATGCACACTGCGCGAGTCGCGCGACCCTGGAGGACCGTCATCGCGTGTTCGGCGAAAACGTGCTGCCGTCGCGAAAAACGAAGTCGCTGCTCCAGCTAATGTGGCTGGCGCTCAAAGACAAGGTTTTGGTGCGTAACCTGTTTTTCATTTCATGTATGCGCTCTAACTCACGTCCCGCGTGCAGGTCTTGCTATCCATAGCAGCGATCGTCTCGCTGGCGCTAGGTTTTTTCCAGGATTTCGGCACACCGCGGCCGGCCGACGAACCACCCGTGGACTGGGTAGAAGGCGTGGCCATCATTATAGCCATCTTCATTGTTGTAAGCATATATGCAGTGATCGGTACTGAGTCGAGTCCTTCAACTCGGCGTATTTTTAGGTCATGGTCGGTTCGCTCAACGACTGGCAGAAGGAACGCCAATTTCAGGTGTTGAACGAGAAGAAGGAAGAACGCGGCGTCAAGGTCATCCGTGGTGGCGTCGAACGAGTCATTGATATTCATGATGTCGTCGTTGGCGACGTCGCCTTGGTTGAGCCCGGTGAGATCGTCCCGTGCGATGGTGTCTTCCTTTCGGGCCACAACGTCCGATGCGACGAGTCGGGTGCGACTGGTGAATCTGACGCTATCCGTAAGCTCAGTTACGAAGAATGTGTCAGAGCACACGAGAAAGGCGATGCGTCTGCACACGCGGATTGCTTCATGGTTTCTGGCAGCAAAGTCCTGGAAGGGTACGGCAGCTATGTTGTCATCACCGTCGGCACGAAGAGCTTCAACGGTCGAATCATGATGGGTAAGTATCCCCGTAGTTTACGGTATGTACATGCTCATATATGTTGTAGCGCTTCGCGGCGACACGGAGAACACCCCTCTGCAGCTCAAGTTGAACGACCTCGCTGAGCTCATTGCGAAGCTCGGATCTGCAGCCGGCCTCTTACTCTTCACGGCCCTCATGATCCGCTTTTTCGTGCAGCTCGGGACTAACAACCCCCAGCGGACTTCGAACCAGAAGGGCATAGCTTTCGTCCAAATCTTGATTATCTCTGTCACTCTTATCGTCGTCGCGGTGCCTGAAGGCCTCCCTCTGGCCGTCACGCTCGCGCTAGCCTTCGCGACAAAGCGCATGACCAAGGAAAAACTTCTGGTTCGCGTCTTGGGCTCGTGCGAGACGATGGCAAATGCCTCTGTCGTATGCACCGACAAGACCGGTACGCTCACGCAGAACGAGATGACTATAGTCGCCGGTTCGCTCGGCATCCACTGTAAATTTGTCCACCAGCTCGAGCAGAACAAGTCGCGGACGAACGCGGGTGAGGAAGCTGGTGTAAGGCCCTCGGACTACGCACGGCGCAAACATGCGGAGGACTTCAGCATTGACCAGACGGAGCTTAACCACGTTCTGAGCGACTCACTGAAAGAGTTGCTGAACGCCTCCATTGCGATCAACTCTACTGCCTTTGAAGATGAGCATCCCGACACCGGCGCGATGGTCTTCGTCGGCTCGAAGACTGAGACGGCGCTACTCAATTTCGCGAAGGAGAACGGGTGGGCAGACTACAAGAAGACACGCGAAGAGGCAGCCATCGAGCAGATGATCCCGTTCTCGAGCGAACGCAAAGCGATGGGCGTCGTCGTCAGACTGCACGGCGGACGCTACCGCCTGTTTCTCAAGGGCGCATCGGAAATCCTCACAAGGATGTGTACGCGGCATATTGTCGTCGCCAACCCGAACGGCACGCCGCAGCTTCACGACGACATCGAGACCCGCGAGATTGACGAGCTTGCCAACGAAAACATCCAGCGGACAATTATCTTCTACGCCAACCAGACACTCCGTACGATCGCTATATGCTACCGCGACTTCGAGTCTTGGCCGCCGAAAGGCGTGCATGTTCAGCTCAAGGATGAGGTGACGTGGTTCGCTTGAGACGAACCTAACTGCGCTGATGTCTATCGCCGCTTACAGGTTCCGTATGACATTTTGGCCCAGGACCTGACGCTCATCGGCATCGTTGGTATCGAGGACCCGCTTCGTCCCGGCGTACGCGATGCCGTTGCGATGTGTCAGAAAGCAGGCGTTGCCGTCAAGATGTGTACTGGCGACAACGTGCTCACGGCTCGTTCCATCGCTTTGCAATGCGGTATCTACACTGCTGGCGGTATCATCATGGAAGGCCCGGTGTTCCGTCAACTCAACGACCCGGACATGCTGGAACTCGTACCCCGTCTTCAGGTTCTTGCTCGTTCGTCTCCGGAAGACAAGAAGCTGCTCGTCGAAAAGCTTAAGGAGCTGGGCGAAATTGTTGGTGTTACCGGCGACGGAACAAACGATGGCCCCGCGCTGAAGACTGCTGACGTCGGTTTCTCCATGGGTATCGCTGGTACGGAAGTCGCGAAGGAGGCGTCCGACATCATTCTCATGGACGACAATTTCTCGTCGATCGTCAAAGCCATCATGTGGGGACGTTGTGTGAACGACGCGGTGCGCAAGTTCCTGCAGTTCCAGGTCTCTACGAACATCACGGCCGTTATCATAACTTTCGTCTCTGCTGTCGCGTCGTCAGAGGAAGAGTCGGTTCTCTCGGCTGTCCAGCTGCTCTGGATTAATATCATCATGGATACTTTCGCTGCGCTAGCCCTCGCGACAGACCCAGCTTCGGAGGCCTCTCTGGACCGCAAGCCGGACAAGAAGACGACGCCACTGTTCACTGTGGACATGTACAAGCAAATTCTGGGCCAATCTGCATATCAGACTATCATCACTTTAATATTTCACTTCCTTGGTGCCAGAATCCTTGGCTTCCACCCGACATCGGATTCCACCTTGCAGAACAAGTACGACAAGACTGTGCAGACACTTGTCTTCAATATTTTCGTCTTCGCGCAGATCTTCAACTCGATCAACTCCCGTCGCCTCGATAACAAGCTCAACATCTTCCAGGGTGTTCTGAGAAACTACTATTTCATTGGGATCACGTTGCTTGGTACGTGAGGCGCGAGACTCACGTTCACCATCCGCTGACCTTCCCCACAGAGATCGGTGTCCAAATCCTCATTGTCTTCGTGGGTGGTGCCGCTTTCCAGGTTACCCCCGTCGGTGGTCGCGAGTGGGGAATCTCCCTCGCTCTCGGCGTCGTTTCTATCCCCCTCGGGGCTTTGCTCCGTGCGATCCCTAATGGTCCCGTCGAACGTCTCTTTATCAAGCTGCGGCTGCTGCCTCGGCCTGAGCTCCTGCCGACATCACACGATGTTGAATGGAACCAAGCGATCGACCTCGTCCGCGATAATCTGAGCACCTTCTCGCACGTACGCGGGGCTCGCATGCGGGCATCATCCTACGTTGACAGAAGTCGCAAGGCTCGTACGCAGCCGCAGCAACAGGTCGCTATGTAAGTATTTGTCTGCGTCATGTTAATATCTCGATCTAACTGTAATCGACAGGTCGTCGCTTATGATGATGGTACCGACACTGGTCGCTTCATCTATCGGTGCGGGCTGGCACCCACAATCCCCCCAGGGGCTCGATGATCCCGCCCATTTCGACCCTTCGAAGTCTTCCGCCGCGCTGTGGGAAAACAAGATACAAATACATCCAGACACGAAACCCGACGACCCTGCATTCAAGAAATGGGGTCACTTGAAACAACAATGACGAAGCTTGTCTCCATCTTTCTCTCACCTGTCCCTCTCTTAGTCTCACCCAGTCTCACTCATCCTGGATGCACTCTCTTCCCCATTTACCCCACTGCTTTACATCTGCAATACCCTTCTGTTTCACATATCGTACTCCTGTCGCATCCAGCCTTCTCTCTATCTACTCTCTTTGTGAAGCGTACAGTCAACACAATGTAGTATCAGCTGTACGCGCATGTTCAGATCTTACTCTCCACATCCTATCCTCTCGAGTGCAGCTGGCCGCATAGACATATCAAGTCGAATATAATAAGAATCGTTTCTCAATAATCATGACAACTGTCTTTGGCTTGTGTTGGGTACTCATACGGTGTGATTTTGCCTTCGGAAATGGGGGATGACCTCGCCACTTGAATAAGATTGTGGCGTAAAGCACAAGATCCTTGTTATCAAGCTCTTTCCAGACGTAGTAAAACCACGATAAACCCGCTGGATAACGTTGTCCCGCAGCGTCATCCGCGGCATATCCGGATCCGCTTTGGACTCGTACACCATCCTGCTTGCTATCTGGCTACCACCTCTATGACCCATGCTACCAGCAACTCTGCTTTGTATACTCTCATCCGCACTCAGTTGGCTGAATCGCGAGACTCCAGCAGAATCCACTTCAGATACGGCGGGTTTGCGCTTTGAGCTGCGGCACGTTCATGCAGTATCACCAGAGGCTCGTGTCGTGTGGAGCGATATACGGCACCAAGACCCCTTGCTTGACGGAGAAGACCCTGCCTATCGAGCTCGGACGAGGAGGCTGAAGGCAGCAAAGCCGAGCTCGCCTGAAGCGTTCCGCCGCGCCCGGGCAATGTCCAGGTTCTCAAGACAAACTATGCTGTTGGACTGGGACGAGGATGAAATTGAAGGGCCTGATGTTGAGAGCCGGAAGACGTTACTTAATCTCGCGAAGATGACAAATAATGCGTATCTTGAGCCTGGAGAAGCGGAGTGGTACGACCTCGGAGGTGATTGGAACGTCGTGAGTGTCTTGTCATCCCTGTCCAAGTTTTCCAGCAGATTTTGTCCCAGGCTGCGCGAGACGTTTGAGGACATGCTTGCTAACCTTCGTCTACCTATAGTCTTATCCCGTTGGTTGGGAGCCTGATCAAGACGGCTTCCGGGGCCATGTCTTTGCGACGGCAGACAACTCGACGATCGTGCTTTCTATCAAGGGCACTTCTTCCGGCTTCATCGGCGGGGGTGGGCCTACGTCCAAGAAGGACAAGTTCAACGACAACCTGCTGTTTAGCTGCTGCTGCGCGCGCATTGACTGGACGTGGACCACCGTGTGTGACTGCTATCGAGGAGGCTGGAAGTGCGACCAGGATTGTCTGGAGCAGGCGTTGGTGGACGAGAGTCTATTTTATTCTGTTGGGACTGTAAGTGCTTCTCAGATCTTTCCACACACATGCAGTTCACGTGGTATTATACACAGAATTTATACTATAACCTTACATATATGTACCCGGAGTCAAACATCTGGATAATCGGACACTCGCTCGGCGGCGCCCTCGCTAGCTTACTTGGGGTGACGTTTGGCGTACCAGTTGTAAGCTTTGAGACACCGGGGGAGAAGATGGCTGCCGGCAGGCTGCATTTGCCGTCGCCGGTATGTACCCACCGTCTACCCGCTTTAACCTCCGTCGATATCTCATTACTATACGTCAGCCATCTACACAGCACATTACACACATATACCATACTGCAGATCCGATAGCGATGGGCACCTGTAATGGCATCCTGTCATCCTGCGCGCTCGCAGGTTACGCAATGGAGAGCCAGTGAGTATGCTCATGTCTCAACGCACACCATGTCCGCTCATGGTTACACAGATGTCATCTCGGAGAGTCCATCGTCTACGACACAGTCACAGAGCTCTCCTGGGCGGTCGACGTCCGGATGCATCTCATCGTAAACGTAATTGAGAACATCCTCAACATAACTTGGGCGCCTGCGCACGCCGAGGGGCGTGAAGTGCCCGCAGCGAGGGAAGAAGTCGACTGTGTGGTGAGCATGAGCTTCACGGCAGCCGCGTGTGACGAAAGTTCACCTGAACTTACGGCAATGTGCAGGAATGTTACAGTTGGGAATTTGGCAACTTCCCACAGAAGATACGCGCCGCAAACACGAGTCAAATACACGATAACAGTAGGTGCCCGTAGCACATGCGTGTATTCTCATTGCCCGTTAAATGCACTGTAGTTCCGAATAATAATCACCGCTGCATATCCGTGCACTGCCCCACATTAGATGAACTATTCCCATGTAATCATCATTAGTGGAAGATGTAATTTGTTGTTACATGTGAGAAGTATGGAGCCGTTTTGTACTACCACTTACAGTTTGAAGAGGGAAACGTGGCGGGAAAGAGAACAATCTATGTGATACGTGGAAGGGTTTCTATACTGCGAACGTCCTCAGGAATGTCCTTTGAGATACTTTGACCGACGGGAGTGACAAGTGCAAAAGAAAGACAAGACGGGGAAGAGAAGATAGACGCTTGATAAGTAGAAAGCGCTTCGGGAAGCCTGGGGCCCAACGGAATTACATGGGGCGTAGCGAAAGGACGAATGTGTATGTCTGATCGTTTGGGGATTCGGAACCCCAGTCGCACAGAGTAGGAGTCTTGGGACGGGATTAGTACGAGGGTGAGATCGGCTCGTGCGCGGGCGGGTCGCTGAGGTAGAGCGTGTCCATTGCAAGGTTAAGCGGGTCCGTGTTGAACGTCGTCTGCTGTGGCTGTAGCATCGCAGTGTTGCCGAAGAAAACCTCAGGGCTCGTGCACGCGGCGACGGCACGGCGCATACCAGTTGAGAGGTAGGAGAGGCCGACCTGGTACGCAGCTAGGGGAAGAAGCCGATCAGTCCAGATCTTGCAAGAAAGGGATTAGAGACATACCGTTCATCCAACCAAAGCCTTCGCGAGGGACCATCTTGAAGTCGATACCCTGGTTGCCGTACTCGGCGTCGACAAGGTGTGATAGCTTGACTGCGTCGAACTTCTCGGGGACGACGCCGTTGAAGTCGACGAACGCAGTGGTCATCATGTACATCCACCGGTACGCGAGTCGTTGCGCCTCCTCGAGGTAACCGTACCGCTCAAGGCCAACCCAGGTCATGATCTGGTGAGGAGGCCATGCGTATCTGGCGAAGGGCACTCAGTACAGGGGTAGGTGCAGAAGTGCATATATGAACACTTACGGGTAGTCCCATTGACGGTTAGGACGGTCGAGCGAAATCTTACCCCTTGACTCCTCCGTTCCTGAGGCAAGACCACCAAGAACCTCGAATTTCTTCAGCGAGTTCGACCTGCGAAACAAAGGGTGAGCAACCTCTCAGTACCCAGAAGCAATAAAGCTAGACGCACAAGAGCTTCCACGCCTGCTCCTCGCTTGCACAACCGGCCCAGAGAGCCCAGAAAGCGGTCACACTCTCGTACAAGCTCTGCTTCTCCTGGACGGTGTCGTAGTCGAAGTAGAGGCTCTTGCTTTCGTTCCAGCAGTACTTGTCAATGATGCTCCTCCGCCACTCCGCACGCTCGAACCACTCCGCGCTCGTCTGCGGCCGGGAGCGTGACTGCTTGCGATGCGGGTTCGCGTAAGTCTCGGGTGTGACAGGCCAAGGCGCGAGGTCGAAGTCTTCGTCGAGCTCGAGCTCGTCGTCAAAGACCTCGCGGATGGCAGTGCCGATATCGACTTCGTACTTGTACAGTAGCGTCTGGAGGTCGATCGTGCCCAGGTTCGCACATCGCTTCTCGAAGCGGTACGTCGTGTCGTGGCCCGACTCGCGCACGGCACGGTCATGCAGAAAGTACTCGTCGAGCCCGGGCTCTTTGATGATCCCGTCGTTGTACTTCTCGCTGAACTCGTTTATCGATAGCCCGTGTTTGTGTGCGTACGGCTCAAGGATGTGCGTGAAGTGCGTCGCCTCGGTCTCAGGAGGGATGCCGATGCCGTCGGGGCGATATCTCGACAGGCCGGTCTTCGGGTCCATGCGAGGTTCAGCAACCCAGATGGTGTGGTAATCCTTGATCGCCGCCCGAATAGCACGCTTCAGCCATGAACGGTTGGCCTCGACATCAGAGCGGTCGAGTTGGTTGTAAATTTGCAAGGCCATGTCCGTGAGGAACGGTGGCTGGGTACGACAGAGATAGTAGCTGCGGCTGCCGTTCAGGACCTTGCCGTAATGCTTGATCTCGAAGATGAAGTGGTCAACCATGCCCTTCGCCATGTTTACTTGACCGTCGATAAGGAGACCTAGGGAGATGAAGTAGGAATCCCAGTTATACAGCTATAGGCGCCTGTAGTCAGACGGGCAGCCACTACGATGGACACAGAATACGAACCTCATTGAACCGAGCACCGGGAACGATGAAAGGAACACCTTTCAGGGTCTTTCCTCCCTTGGGATCATCGACCTCGTTCATCGCAAGAGCCAAGATACCAGGCTTGTCGTTCAAACTCTTCACGAAGTTTGGATCGTCGCACTTCGGCGGCAACATTTTCACGTCGAGATTCAGATGAGGCTTCTCTCTCGCTACCTTCCTGTAGTACTCAGCCATGCCTGGCTCGCCGTGCGGGACATAGATGCGCGGGTTGATGCGTCCAGTACGGTTCTTTGGGTCTGCGCAGATAATCTCAAGACCGTCACCGTCAATGCGACGAGTAAGTGCATGCCAGAACGAATTTTTGATCATTCGCGAGAGACGATCGACAGGGTTCTCCGTCAGGCGAGCCTCGTCCAAGACGATACGCTTGCGGCCATGATCTCGAGCAAGAGCGAGTTCTTGCAGCAAATTGGACAGCATATACGTTCCCTAGATGTGATGTGCCGTTAAAGACGACCGAAGGTCGCGACTAGACAGCTGTACGCACTCGGATATCGAAGGTCTTGAAGCCGTTGCTCGTAGCGGTGCCCAACGGTATCAGCTTAGGGCCGGCGTCGGTGATACTGATTTGGAAGTCTCCATCAGTGTCCTCTTGCTCCAGAACGACACGTATGGTCTCCTCTACATCGATCAAGAACCGGCGGGGAGTAGTAGTGCTTTTCTCATCGTGAGACAGCCGCCTAGCTCGTCGATGCCACTCATCGCCAAACTGAGGGACTCTCTTGGGGTGATAACCGTGAGCAAAAGACTGTCACCTCAATTAGTCTAATTTTCACAACCGGTGAAGCAAGAGTCACTCACGGCGCTGTATGTTCGTCCGCGACTAAACTGCTCCTGGCCGCCATAGTATTCATCTGCTTCTGAATGCACCGGCCTCTGCTGCTCGTCGTCGATAAAGGTAACACCTGCTGGGTGGTTGAGTGATGGAGCCATGTCCGAATATTCAAGCTTGGTTTGTAATTCCTCGTGCAAGTGGTTGGGGTTCAGAGAAAGCAATAGTGCTCGCGCTTGACGCGACGCGAGCTGCGAGATCCTTCCGACGGGCGATTTTTCGCAGACTATCCGGATAAGTGGAAAAATAAGAGGCTTTGAGCGAGACCTGCGATACTAAAGAGAGTGGCTGAAGCTTGAGAGATAGAAATTTGAGTTAAAGGTGTACGCGGAGAGGCACCTCGGATATCTCTAGCGTTAAGAGTGACGATGAGTGACCGTGTTCGCCGGTTCGGCTCCGCTTGCCAAACAATTCAGCCGAACCAATCACCGTCGAGTCGATCCAAGCCCGAGTACGCTGAATTCACCTCAACCGCGACGGGGCCGACGAGGAGACGGAATAGCAGAACCCTACGACGCCTCTCGCATTTATATCCCCACTGCCGTATCACGCCCGCGCATTGCCAACCAAGATCCGACCCTTCAAAACGCCCGACTTCAGGGCAGCGCGCTGTTCGTCCACTGGCCTGTACATGTGCGTGGGTACGGCCGTTCTTCCCTCACTCCTGGCATGTCTCTTTCGTTCTTGACGCAAGGCACCAAATGAGAAAACAAGGGCGTGGTGGCAGTTGAAAACAAGCAGAGGCAGCGAAGACTGGCTGAAACATGACGCTTGAGAACCAACTGTCGATCAAGTGCATGATAGCTGCCTTGCTAGTTTACTCGCATCCAAATATTCTCTGACAAAAACACGGTACACTGTGTAGACGATAGATGCCCAGGTCGGTATAATCGTCCATAGGCAGAACAACCTCAGAGCCCGCGACTGCTTTGGAGTGGCGTCGGTCATCGTAGCCCCCGGGATGCGACACCGCAGGGAAGAATTGTAAAACTTCATTCTTGACGGTATTTCTCTCACCCATGCCACTTTCCCGTGCTAGTCGACGAACGTCGCAGACAATGACTCTCGCTTTTGACACAGGGAAGCTACAAGCTATTTGGGCAGACTCTCGAGTGTGCTTCCTGACCGGGACCCGTCGCCTGGCACATCGTACTACCAGTCTCTTTCCCTCTCGGACATCATCCGAGATTTTTGCGTCCCTGGCTTGTCCCCGGCCTGTCTCTCGTCATCTATCACCGGTGTCAGGCGTCATTTCTGAGTTCTAGCATGTTGTCTGTGTCGGCCTGATCTCGCGCGAGTACAGTAAGCGGAGGCTCGTACGACTCTGAACTGAGGCGCGAGAAGAAAAGATTGGAATCACCTTATGAAGATGTGAATGTCAAGTGCTGCATAGGTCTTGAGAAGTTTATGAGTCTAGCGTTAGAATCGTGGTATTTCGCCGTTCGAGAGGCAAATGTCAAAGGTACACGGCACTTCAGTTTCTCGTGATCTCTAACCGGGTCGACGACAAGTCTGGTTGCCACCAACCAAGAAGCTAACGGTCTCTCATCACAAGCAGTGACTGCCCAGTAGCGGAACGAACAGTATCGACCAGTTGTAACTGGTGCGTCAGGACGCCTCGACGACAGGAAACTTTGAACTATATTCTTGGAAGAGCGGCAGATCAACATTATGTATGTTATATGAGTACACCCGACGTGTGCCTCGCCTCCAAACGGGTGCCGTTGCAGCCGATGATCGAGTGAAAGAAGGATATTGATGGCTGGCAGGCGGGCAAAGATAAAGGGGAGACACCGGCAGACCGCAGGACATGGTGATAGACTAACTGAGAACGAGTGGCAGACGATTGAAGGACCGATTAACGAGAGATTGCGTATGAACGGAGATCCGATGAGTGGACGAGTTTGAGTATGGAGAGCATGGAGGTATATCGACTAGTGAATAATGCAAATGTACGTCTCAGTTGAGCGCGACACAGAAGGAAGCAGAAGACACACCTATTGATCTATCAACACGAGCCAGTAGCCACTTACGGCCGTTCCAAAATTGCGAATTTACTTCTTATTTACACTTCACTGCATTGCATTCACCTATTCCTCATCAGGAATCTCTGCGGCCACGTCGGCGAACCCGCTCAGCTTGATCGGAGAAGGCATGCCAGACTCAAGCATGTTGACGAGTTGCACGAGGTTGTCGTCGTCCTTCGGTACGGCAGGCGATGGTGACTCGGGGAGGTTCTGCACGTCTTCTTCGGGATCAGACTCAGGGTGGGCATCGGCGGGAGTGTCGGAGGCCTGCACGTGCTCGTCTTCAAGCGGTGTCTCCTGGTGCGTAGACACATCGGGGACCTCAATACGTGTCTCGTCCGGCTCTTCATGGGCAGATTCCTCGTCGACATGTGACTCGTACTCGTGCTCAACTGCCGCTTCTTCATCGTGATGCTCTTCAGGCTCGTGCGCAAGAGTGGTATCTTCAGCGTAAACTTCGTCGTCATGCGGCTCTTCACCAGGGATCTCGGCATGGACCGGCTCTGGGCTCGAACTAGGTACCGGAGTCTTCACACCCGCCTTTGGCTTCGCAGATGTTGCGGAGCTCCTGGGTTTTGCGACGGCCGCAGCACCCCGCGTCGAGGCGGTGCCTCTCGTCGGAGCTGCACCCCGGTTGACTGATGTCTTGGGCGGCGCCGAAATGGCAGGGGCTGTGGACCGCGCCTTTGACAGGCTTGCGGCAGTGGGCTTGCTGAGCCTCTCAGCCACGTCGGAAGAGAGGGCCTGTTTCTTGATCGGTTGTGCCGGGACTTCCGGCGCATTCCGCGCTTTAGCGAGAGAAGCAGCTGTGGGAGCGGAGAGACCGGTCGCAAGGGCCTTGCCTGGTGTCCTTGCAGGAGTCTTCGGTCTTAGAGTTGAAGCAGGGGTCTTCGGCCGGGCGGTGGAAGGTGTCTTCGGGCGCACTGGTGCAAAGGGAGAGTGGACCGACGCGCTAGACGATGGTCTCGACGATGTTGGTTTAATGCTCTTTAGGCTTGATGACCCTCGCAGTGGCTGCGGCGTGGAGGCGGATGACGTGTTTGCGGGAAGTCCTTGATAGGATGCCGGAGGTGACTTGGCTAGAGTACGCGCTGTCTTGGTCGCAGCAGTAGCTGCAGCGGAGGGACGGCTTGTTACAGGTCTGAGTTTGCTAGGTGTGGCTGGAGGGCGGGCAGTGGCGCCAGCTGCAGGCACTGGTATCTTGTTCTGCTCTGATGCGGAAGTCTCGGGAGGAGTAGGCTCAACGGGGGTAGCAGCAGGCTCGGGCTCGGCTTGGGGCCCCAAAAGCGGAGATGTGGGGGCTTCCGTAGGTAAGGGCGCAACCATCGTGTCAGCAGATGTGCCATCGATTGCCGGGGTAGGCGTGTGGAGATCCGCCGCCTCTGGCTTAGGCGACGCGTCAGGCGTCGGCAAAGCGGGCTTCGGCGAGGATTCTTCAGACTTGACGACCCTTGAGAGTGGTGGAGAGACGGCTTCTGGTTCCTTCTCCTTGCCTGTCTTCACGGGAGGCCAGACTCGTCTTTCCTTCACCTCTTCATTGGCTGTATCTCCAGTAGGGTGAGAGACGGGGGTGGAGACACGTGGAGGTGCGGAGGTCAAGGACTGTCGTTTTGTCTGCTGCTCGAACCGCCCGATGAGGTTTGCTACGCTCTGGCGCGGTCTCTCGTCCGGTAACGGCCTATATATTTTAGTCGGACGGGCTATGCAGATGTAAAGCCAACGTCACTCACATGGTTTCTGACCTTTGGAAGGACTAGGAGAATCAACTCTGGAAAACAGCTCTCGCCGGCGAGAGGGAGGTGGTGGAGCGAATGCAAGTCAGTCAGTCGTCGCGAGGTGCGATGGCAAGCTGAAGTGTCATGCATCATGACCCATGATCATGACGGATATGGCCATGCTTTTGATCTCGCTAGTGATTTGTTACTCGCCTACAAAGTTTGTTGATCGAGTAACACACGGAACCCCGGGACTTATAAGCGCTTTAAGAGTGCGTTTCTTATGATCTTTCACCGGGCCCAAATCTGATGGCAACAGATCACAAAAGCAAATCCTGGATCGCAATATTCGGCCTGAAAAGGGCAAGGTCCAAGCACAGCGCTCCGTGCTCATTACAGGTCTGTTGCTCCACGGAGTTTTGAACCCATTTTCTTGCAGAGAAATACAGACATGCTCAGATCTTTCTAACTCGCGTAAGGCCGGCCAGCCGGCTAGTGCTGCTGCCAGGGTGGCGGGACAGCAAGGCGAGCAAGCCTTATATATGCTTCTTTTGCTCCCAATAGTAACCTGACTAATCGGAGAAGACCTGTGATTAAATATGGACTTGGGGCTGACTTGGGGCTGACTTGGGGTGTCATTCCCGTACACGCTGTAGTTTTGCATACTTGTAGTGTGGTAAGTTCAGTGCGCGGAGCGCGTCTTTTCTTTCATGGGTGCGTCCTGTTGATTACCCCGCCAGCTACAAACATGGGTGCTACGCGTGCTGCAGCTTATATCTTGGCTTGCTTCCGTACTTGCATGCTGAGCAGCTTAAGAGTCTCGTCGAGCTGAATATTTCGCATATCTCCACCCCCGCGCAACCCGTCACATGCACGTGCACTACGTCACAAAGCGCTTGGTTATTATTCCTTCTCGTTCTTGTTGTTCTCGAAGACAGGGCAAAGACGACTACGGCAACCGGAAGTAGCGACACGGTAGCACAATGAACACATGGTTTATTTGCGTTGCACGGCGACTCACAATTGTGGTAGGCACCCACCGGCGACCTGCAGAGAAGCCTGACAATGCACCCGAGGATCGGGCTGACACTGCTATGTCCTTCAAATATGATAGACAACATGCCTGTCCAGCGTGTTTCGTGAGTGTAATTATGCACCGCTCTAGATGAGGTAGCGAAGTCGCCATGCTGTGGCCTCGAGACCTATTTCAGGTATTAGCCAGCTTCAGAAGCAGGGGGTCTGTTGCACACATCCTGTCGTCGGGTGGCGGGCCTCACAGCCACTGCTGCGTATTTATTATTGTGAGAATGGTGACTCCATGGCAGCTATCTCGGTCTCCTCATTCATTCCCGTGCGTCTTCTGTCTAGATTCATGTATACTTCCCGCCTGATAAATGGTCGTGCAGAACCTCAATACTCATTGGCTCATAACGTCTGGCAGACCTTCCGCTCACTCTTTCATCATATTTTGACCACAGTCATAGCGGGCTTATGACCCCACCTCAGTGCTCCCGTCATGGCTATACTTCGGTCACTCTCTCCCCCCAAGCTCTCCACCAGCAAGGAGCCCCTCGCCGTCCTGGAACCCAACTGCAACAGTATACCATGCCGAATCTCCACAGCAGGGTGCCTCAACTTCCAGTAGAGCTTTGGATGAAGGTCGCCACGTTCCTCGCGCGTCGTGAGCTTATCACAGTGCTCCTCGTCTGCCGTATGTTCAAAGACATCGCCTGGAAGGCTCTGTTGTGCACAGTCTACCTTCATTTGGAAACCAGCGGTGCACCTGAGAGTATCGCAAGAGGCAACTTTCTCCTCTATAACGTCGCTACCAAGCCAGACTGGGCCAGATACGTAAAACACATGGTCGTTTTCATGGACGATCAGAGGGCTTTCGACCGTATGCAGTTTTGTTATCCGACCCCGCTATGATGTTAATACCCATTACAGATGTCAACAACCTATTCTGCGCTCTCACCAGACTACCACATCTTCGCAGCTTTAAGCTTATGGTAGCTGATTACTACACGGATGAATTTCCGGAATTGCATGGCAGCATTCGGCGCGTAGTGGACACAGTCTTTCACTACTGTCATAAACTCGAAGAGTTTCTGGTACCACACACGTATGTCCCTAACATATGGCGCAAGTCTCTGTCTTTTCTCACAAACTTCTATACCTAGAATGGTCTGGGATGCCATCTCTGCCATGACTCGCCAAACGCGTCTCCGTAAGCTCACCAGCTGCGGCCGCCTGGGCGCAGACATGCAGATCACCGACGGCCACGCCCGCAAGTTCATACAAATGGGCCAAAACCTCTTCCGCCGCTCGCGGGGGCACCAGTGCCCAGGGCTTACGACGCTCCGCATTGACTTTAACGTCATCGACGCAATTCCCCACCGGGTCTTCTCGCAGCTTACGGAGCTCGAGGTTTACAACCTTGACAATGCAGAAAAGCTATTTCACGACGTTCTGGCATATACGCGGCGGCTTCAATCGCTAACTATGCACGAATGGAGTGCCCCCGGCGGTGGCAGGGATCCTCGTCCACCCGCTCCTGGCGAGCACCTCGCGCCACATGAGCAGGATCGCGTAGAACTCGACTTGGCCGAGGATACCGCCGGTGACGAAAGCTTCCTCACCCCGCTGGCCGCTAAGGCTAGCGACCAGCAAGACCCGCTTCTGAGTCTGACATCCTTCCGGTACATAGCGTACCGTGGCATCCTGCCCGCACGCGTCTGCAAGAGTCTGCTGCTGTTTCTCGAGCGTCGCTCAGGCCTGCGCAGGGTCGACATCAAGGCGATTATCTGCAATAAACACTACGCGGAGAAGACGCTTCGCCTTCTTGGAAAGTTCCGCCACCTTGAAGTCCTCGGCTTTGAGTTCCGCGACGTGCGCGATGGGCTAGACTCCGGGCTCGAGTTGCTTCGGTATATACCCAAGACCGTGACGCACCTGAAGTACAACGTCATTGGATGGAACCTGACCCAGACGCTCACTACGCCGGATACTATCGTCAAGCGTGCGGTGAGCTCTGATCCTTTGTCTACCATGCCCAATTGATTGCCTGATAATGTTCTTACAGCTGGATAAATGCCCTCAGCTACAATTTCTCTACGTATACGACGGTATCCGCCAGATCAGCGGACGGGGCTTCCAGCGTGACGACGATGTACACCTCTCTACCCCGACACTCAACTTTGACTTCAAGCGGCTGCGCTTCCTCGCCCTCGAGCACAATTGGATGAACATCACGCGAGACAACCGTGGAGCCGTAGACGTTTTCCAATGGCCCACTCGCCAGTGCTTCTACAGTGGCCTTGAGGGCGCGGAGAGGCTCGGCGAAGACGGCGAGTGGCTTGTGAGATACAATCGAGAGCTGATGGACCTGAGCACGTATGTATGAAACGCGCCTTCCCTGGACATGATTCTGCAGACGCTCTTTCTCTCAAAGAGCAAGGACAACCTCTATACCCGCAGATTTACATACGAACAGGCCAGACAACACAAAGTGGCTGTGAGCTTTGTATGCGCCATTAAATATTCCGGATATTGAATGAGTCTAGTTAACGACACTCAGTGCATTACACACAAGGTCTGAGTTTTAAGCTAAGTTATACTACTAACGAAGACAGGTTGTCGCCAAGTTTCCGACTTCTTTGTGACATGCAAGCCAAGTACACGTCCTCAGATGCACTGGCCCAACGAGAATGAATGCGACAAATCCAGAAGAAATCACCCAAAGTGGAGCGAATGGCTGTTGTGATGACACTAGGCAGTGCGTGTCAAAGTATGCGTACAACACACGGCTCTGAAGCATCACGCAAATGGCAAATCTTTCAAATAATTGTTGTAGCTACAAGCTATCCACGACTGAAAGGTAAATATGAGAAGCTGTTGTACTTCGCTTTTTCAAGCGATTTACTCACATCGAGCTCCTAACTCTTGCATACATTACGCCAAGAGCATGAGCAAGCATGGCATTTAGAGCTAAGTTCGAGGTAGTGCGGCTCACCACTTCCGCCGCCAGTTTGTCGCAGTTATCTAGTAATCCCCACAGCAGCCTGGCAGCTCAGTTCATTCTCTTGCGTTAGAAGGTCATATTACCTCTCAGATATGGGTGCACCAGCATTGGTCAAAGGCGGACAGTTTTATAGGTATACACTCATTTTGTTCCGCTCCGTATGATTACAGATATGAGCTCGTGTATATGAGGATCCTGCCCTCGCTCCCACATCACGCGCCATTGCGAATTGTGGTCGCCAACCCGAGCGCACACTCGCACACCGCCTGCCCGCGACGCACGACAGTCTGCGTGTGCGGCACATTCGGGTCGAGGCTGTCGCGGCTGACCTTTACGAGACCGGGGAAGACGGTGGCGCCGAGGCGGTCCTGCTCCTCGCGCTCGCTCTTGAGGCAGCGCTTGACGAGCTCGATCTGGGACGGGTGGAGCACGCTCCCGAGTTCGGGCACGAACGCACGGTAGAACGCGTCGGTGTCGCCCGCCGAGCCCGACGACGAGCCGTGCAACATGCGCGAGAACTGCAGGCCCGCCTGCAGGATCGCGAACGCGCCCTGCGTGAGCACGTCCGTGTCCTTGTCGTCTGGGAAGAGGGTATCGCTGAGCGCGGACATGTTCTCCGAGAGGAAGAAGCGGGACATGGCGGGCGAGCAGGACTCGACGGCCGCGCTGAATGTTTGTCTTCGCCATACGGCTGCCACAGTTGGATCACCTGGGATCGCGTCAGCACCGGCGTCGATTCTTAGCAATACATTGCACAACGTACGAGTAAAGATGTGCTCATGGATGCGTGTAAGCTGGATATTCGCTTCCGGCGAGTCCGTCACGATCAAGCAGTTGATGATTCCTTCTGAAATCGTCTTCGCCATAGCATGCCGCAGCAGGTGCATCACATGCATCGGATTCGCTTCATCAGGGAACGGCGACGGCTCAGGCGGATAGCCATCAAATATGTCGGCAAGGGCTGCTTGGCGGACGGCACCGAGGTCTGCAGGGGCTTTCTCGATGACGTCCGCGGCCCAGCGATTGATGGACCTCTCGAGCTGGGACGCGGCGTTCTGCAAAAGTGTAAGAGTCGGCGAGGACCAAGAAAGGTCATCATGCGTACCTTGATGGAAAAATCGTCAACCGAATCCCCCTTACGCCTGTTCTGTTCGCCTGTGCCTTCTAGCAACGCGATCCTGGCTCGGAGGCGAGCAACTTGTTTCTCCTGTTCTTGCAGTTGCAACCGCTGATCCTCGACTTTCTCGTGTGCAATTTTCTAGGGTTCGAAGATCAGATAACCGCTTCTCCGGTCGCAAGCAACCGTGCAATGGTTACTCACGAAGTTCGTTAACGCATAACGATACTGTTCGCCCGGTACAACATCGTGGAATTGCTGGGGCTGGGCCATGGCTGCTAGGCGAGTGCTCGTGGGGGTTCGTGAAGCGAGCCATGTCCGACGTTGGCATGTATTTAGCGTGAAGGTTGATCACATCCATCAGCCTCGTTGTCAACGTTCGGATATCCAAGGCGGGAACGGCTAAGCAGGGGAGAAAAGCAGTGACAGGCACAGCACACAGCCGGCGTCTAGCGCTTGTCAATGTTAAGGCGTCGATGCGGGACGACGGCCGCGGAGGGTTTCTCAGGGGCAATATCATTACGCACTCTCCCATGAACGAGCTTCAGAAAGAAGACAGCCGAAGAGAAGATAGACGACACAGTGGTGTAACGGGGTCCCTACGGTATACAAAGTATTCTAAATTCTCTGTCGAAGCTTCTGCAGCATAAAGATGATATGCAGGGCCCAGTGTTCGAACTGATCCTTCGACATGAACAGGAGAGTTTGTGCAAGGACAGCTTTGAGCAGCTGAGCACCCAGACCCTAAGTCACTTCAGTGGCCTCGCTTCGTGCTAAGATGAAGAGTAACGCACCTGATACCAGCCAAGAAATCCGTTCTCAAGATATACTCTGTGCAGGATCTGCAGCGAAGTAGCGTGCTTCATGTGCTTATGGTGGAATTCCTTCGGTTTCGGTTTCTCCTCGCCTTCCTCCTCAGCTTCTTCCGCATCTGCTGACCGTGCCTGAATCTTTATCTTCGTCATGATGTATGGGTACGTGATCTACGTTAACGTCAATACCTGCGCACAACGTGTTCCCAGCTCCACTTACAATCGTGGCAAGAATCTTGCTTAGCGCGCCAACGTAGAACGTCATCTGCGGCGCAAGCTTTCCGTTCTTCGCCATGTCTGTCCGCCCCGACTTCTCAGACGCGATCAACACAGCGCTCTTCACGCGCTCAAAGACACCATACGTGATGGCTGGGTTGACTGTGAGGACCATACTAGGTCCGAGGCCGAGCCAGAAGCCGGTGGGGCCTTCTTCTTCGTATATTTCCTTTGCAACGCCCCAGAACGAGTCGTCCCGCTCATTCTCCCCTTCTGCCTTCTCAACGTCGGTCTGTGGTATCGCCTTCTCAGCGTCGCCGTTTGCAGCCCAGCCTTTGCGTAGACGCACGCGGCGCGAGTTCTCGTCCTCGTCCAGGGACTCGCCAATCTGCTGCCGAGTCGCGATGGTCGACACTGGGAGGGTAAAGATTTGGGCGAGCGCGCCTGCGGCTGCTCCAAGAAGAAGTTCGGCTGCCGTGGACAGGGGCGGCGCTTTCGAGCCCTTCGGTAGCCTCGAGCTGAGCCGCTTGATGTAGGACGTCCGGACGAGGGAGTAAAAGAAGAAATAGGCATATTCTGTGAGGGATGTGAGCAATTAAATTGAACAAGAGTTGCATACTTACGCATGGAGAACGTATTAAGCATCGTAGCGACGAAACCCTTGTAGTACCCCACAATGCCTTCCTCTTCGTAAATCTGCTTCATGGTTTCAATGAGTGATGGTACATGCCCGCCCCTCTTATGATACGCTTGTAATCGCGTTTTTGCACTGCGAGAATATAAGTATCAGACCAAGGAAATGTAGTGCCAGGAGCGTACGAACACATCCAGAGGATACACGATACTGCAAGAACGTCAGTCATGCTCTCATAGCTCCATGCATTTGACAACTCACGCATTGCTGAAGCATGCGCCCAGAGCACCCGCCAAAGCGCTCCCCAACGGTGTCAGTTGTTGTGGTTTCGCAATGTTTGTCCCGGACATGGCGTGCTGGTGGTGGTATCAGAGAGAGGGGTCTCACGCTTGACGTACTCCGTTCTTGCGGGGTTTCAGGCTTCCAGATAGCGACCGCCGGCGTGCAAGTCGCACGTATGTCAGCAAGGTGAGTGTGCTCCGGAGGAAAAGCTCGACATGGCGAGCGAGACTGACGGTAAACCAGCGGACTCCGACCTGAGCGTTACGGAAATGGTACGGCCCGAAATCACAAGCATCGCGTCCACCCGCTATTGAGCGCTTATCATCCCGCCTCCGCCTCATAAAAGGCAAAGGCTTCTGATCCTAACAAGCGCAAATAGCCCGCCATTGTTGTTCGTCGTCCGGCGACCATCCCGTCCTACAAAGCTCGGCGGGGCAGCCATGGCCAGTAACACAAACTTCCCAGTTAACCTCAATATCAAACCCTCTCATAATAGTCACGACAGACATGTCCTAAATGCCTTCGACTCGTCTGCGCAAGAAGCGGCCATTCGGGAATATGGCATCGCTGGCAGGGTTTGGTAAAGATCGTCCCCTCTGACGCCAGTCGATAACCCATTTCTTACAACAACACTCCATAACCAGGGAAGCTGCTTTTTTTTTGAACACATATATCGAAGGGCTTCTAGATATAACTTTTGATCCGCCCTTTTCGACGCCACACGACGAGGAAAAATTGCTGTCGATTCTCGAACTCGGCAGCGGAACTGGCATCGTATCTGCTAAATGCGCCAAACAGCTATCTAATCGACAATGCACTGTTATCGCTACGGATCTGCCGGAAGTTTGTCCGCTCTTGGCGAAGAATCTCTGCAAATATAGCGAGCCAGAGCACGCGTCAGGACCCAGGTTGCTTGTCAGGCCGCTTGCTTGGGGGAACTACGAACAAGCCGAAGCAATTCTTCATGAGCTCAAAAATACTTCCGACCAGATACCTGCTAACTCCGGTCCAAACGCCCTAACTCATATTATCTGTAGCGACTTGGTAAGCTCTTCGCCTTCACACCCCCTCGGCGAACTGAGGGCTGAGAGCATGACTCTAACCACAATCATTGGCAGATATACTTTTCTGAGCTTCTTGCACCTCTGCTGCGAAGCTTGCTCCACCTTACAGGCCCGCCATTTGTCTCTTCATCCAGTACGTCGGACTGGCCCAAGATAATCATCTCCTACAAAGTCCGAAGCCTTCCAACGGAAATGCCCTTCTGGTCGGCCTTCGGCCTCTGGTTTACCTTTGAGCCTGTCTTGTGTCGCCAATCGCCACCCCACCGGCCGAACACCTCCGCCACTGGCAATGACCCAGAGGCACGAGCCGGAGAAGCACTCGAGAACTTTGAAGAGCCTGAAGAGGACACCTGGCGGCGCTTCGGTTCGGCCGGCGATGACGAGGTATTTGTGCTCGTCGCCCGACGAAGGCCAGAGTCGCTTGTATGGGATGTGCCGCCGGATGATGTTGAACTCCTTGGCGGTGTCGGCGCGAGCGGAACTCCGTCGCGGAAGGGCGATTGCACGTTCGAGACACTGCTACTCATGGGCATGGAAGGTGAATAACCTATGTCGTAAGTGTCATTCTGCTCGAGTGTTTAAAGGATGCTACATGTGTCCGTAGAGAGCTACATAAGGGTCCAGAACCCGGATATCCATGCTGCAGTGGGAGGAAGCATGCGGGAAATGAGGAGCATTTGGTACAGGGTCGAAGATACGTCGAAAGTTCGAGAAAACTTGCATCTTCTACTGAAATCCGCCGTGATGATAAAACCTAGAGTCTGAATAAGTACAGCTCGTTTTGTCACTCGTAGCTTACTCACCGCTGGTTTCCATTCTCCAGATATCCGGCAACATTATTGTAGTTGCCGTCCATAGATTGTGCATATCCCGGCGGTGCATACGACTTCGGAGAAACCCCGATAGCGTTCATTGTATGTATTGTCACGCCTTCCGTGAAAAGAGGCGTATCAGGGCTGGACGCGACGTACCCCGACGCCTGACAGGGGAGCATGCATATGAAGTACTGTCCAAGATCCGCGCTTTCCATCAGCCCGGTCGACAGATAGGCGGATCCGTATAAACGGTACGCACGCGCAGCGAAAACCTCGGGAAAACGAACGTCGGACGCAGGTTCTTCTTGACGTCAATCTCGCCCTGGAGCTGCCGCTTGCCCTGCTCGACTGTGCCGTCCTGGCTCGGCCAGAAGTAAGCGCCCGCCATGGGTTCACGAAAGGTGTTGCTGCTCTGGCCCGACGCACCCTTCTGCGTCGCCTGCGAACCCAGCAGCCGCTCGCGCATGAGCTGGAGCCGGATGGCCGAGGGCGAGCAGAGTAAGTCCAGGGCCTGTTCGTCAGACGAGGAGAAGGTCATGAATAGGGGTATCGGTGAGCCTGTTGCAAATGATAGCTGCGCAAAGTCAGACATTGTTAACCCTAGAATGCTCTGCATCTAGAACTTACTGGTGCTGCGATTGCTGCCTAAGCGACATAGTGAGTACCTGGTCACCTTCAAAAGCCCTGTGACCACTTACTATGCATTCTAGGGTTACTGTCCGTTGGTTGAACAGGGTACCAGTGAACCGTACCGGAGGCAGAACCTTCCAGCCCGGCGGGTCGCCAGAAGGGCCAACAAGTGGGGCATCGGCATTATACGCTGCAAGACGCAGCTGAGAGGGGGGTTCTGCGCGAGACAGTGGCGTGTAGAAGATGCTTGCGGTAAGGCTGGTACCCGGGGCCCCGGCGCGGTGTCAGCTCAAACATGCCCAGCACATCGAACATTCCTAAGTGACGTACATCTGATTGACTTTGAAGGCCCCCCGACGGACGGTGGCGATGAGCTTGTAATCCACGTACACCGGGCTTGCTCGTTCTGCGGTCGTGAGCCGGGTATGTGTGCGTACGGAATGCATGGGCGACTTGCCTGTGAATGTCGGCGGCAGACGATACAGTTCCGCCTTGCCCTTGGGCTTATTTGAAGCCGATACCTCTGGGGGCAACGTGAGCGAGAATGGCCACGACGCCTTGCCTTTCGGAGCTTTCCCCGAGACTTTGCTATCCCATAGATCCTCGGATACTGTCAAGAAAGTTAACTCCTCCTGTCCAACAGCAGTCACTCCGCCGGACACCTGTTGAGGATGCATTGTTTGAGCGTGGCCAGTCGATGGCCCCTGTTTGAGCACTCACAGAGATAGCGACAGCTTTTGCGCCGTCAGTCTTGTCAAAGTCGATCGCGACGGTGCCATGGATGATGTCCCGCTCGTAGTACAGGGGCCACGTCTTCTTGTCCTTGGCACGGCTCTTGACTGTGAGCCAGAGCCACGGCCGGCCCTTCGAGTCCTCTAACTGGAAGGTGTGCTCCGAGAGCTCAGGGCCCAGCGAAGCAGTGCTCGTCGAGCTATATCTTGGCAGCACTGCTTCAGAGTCCTCCCGGCTTGCGGTGTAGGCCGCGTGGGCCTCGGCACGCTTGTCCATTGCTAGCGTCGGTCGTGGGGGGCTACAGCTCGCAGTCCGCAGCACTGCGTATATGTGCGCTCGGCGATGTGACCGCGGGTGTGTGAGTGCGGCGCACAGCAAACCTGAGGTGGCACGTCTCGAGTCATGTCGCCGCTCCGCGGGGCCTCATATACGGACAGACGGCTCGCGCGATGAGTACGGGACGACTTATCATCAAGACGCACACTGCGTTGCATGTGCTCGTAAGACAGGACCACCCGTCTCACGGAGAATCCGGACGGAGGAACGCGCGGTCGCGCTGCGGCACATGGCCGCGGATGCATGTAACCTGTTGGAAGCGGAGGCAGAAGGTTGATCTCGAGGCTTTTAAACCACCTCCTGGACGTAAGCTCGCTACTATGGGAAGCACGTTCACTTTGCCTTTCCTCCTTTCGTATGCTGAGGCCTGTGCGGGTACTCGGGTCATCTGTTCAGGCGCCCGCCGCCGTCTCATGGCCGCCAGTTCTCATACACACGGTCGTGCCCGACAAGCGACAGTGGGGGGAAGAGAAAGCTTAAATAGTCGCGGTAATTACTGGCGTCATTAGATTAGGTCGCATGGTGTAGAAGCTATATATGCGGGAGAAGAGATGGAAGCATAGATATGTTATGGACACAGTACAGCTACAGCAGGTGGGGGACGAAAGCAGAAGACACAGTAGAGCAAATAACACAATGAGACAAGCAAACAGAGCGGAGACAACATCTAGCGTGCGTGTGTATTAGGTTGATGGCCGCAGAAATCGTCCTTGTGGTCGCCTGCGACTGCATGAGAGAGATAGCATGCTCTAGGACGATTTCTGCGCAGAGCTGTACGGCACGTCAGACAATTGAATGACGGAGAGCACCAAGTAATCGTGCGCTCACACTGGAACATAAGAACAAAGCAGGCCACGTTTATGACAATTAGCACACGTGGTCCGACCATCGCATTTCAGCTTGCGACCTAATGAATCGAGGGCAGATGGAATGGCCGATGAGAACGGACGCAAAGCAAAACGAAAGGGGAAGTACCTCTACAGAACACGCAGGCCATCGGGGTCCTGCGAGGGGTGCGAGGAGTGTAGGCTTCTCCATCGGAGTCATTGCCACCGTAGGAAACATTCTGTGGGACGGCGTGAGCACATGTACGCGGCATTGACAACGACTTGGTTCGCACGCACGTGAGCACTGTCCATCGCTGCGACGAGAAATAGCTAGGGTGAGGTGGTGGTAGGGGAGAAATACAGTGGATTATAAGAAATAGTGATGAAAATGGCCTGGCTGCTGTACTTGCGACGCATGCGCCCGCACTTTATATCTGTTGAGCCCTGCGTCTGTTGTCAGGATGATGTTCGGGACCACGCAAACCGACGAGATTCAGATTTATCGCATGCCGTCAAGAGCCGTCCACAAAAATCCACAGGATGCGGCCGACCTGCCGCTAGTTGACGAGACGTGTTTCAAGCGATTTCAGCGCACAAAAGGGTACGAGAGTGCCATTACATCACCTTGGGATGAAACACGTCGCTTAGACCCTATCAACAGGGCTTTTGGCCAATTGATGTGGCCCGCCCCATGTTCTTGCTAGCCTCCGAGTGGCGCCGTTAATACGCTAGCCGCCCTTTAGCGTGCACAAAAGGCCATACCTGCCAAGCCTCTCTTTCAAATTTTCGTTCTCTTGAGTCGCGAGCTGTCGCGGCAGATCCATCGTAGTCATGCTGCAACACCTAGAGGCGCAACGAGATGTTGCTAATGACGAGCCCCATCAATGGCAACGGAGGAAAACCGAGGGCGGGGTCAACACATTTTACGATATGGCTCCGGCGAGCGGGCGATTCTGCCGTGGCTGGAATATCGGCTGTTCCCTTCGCGGGAGGATCGGTATCAACATGTTTGGTCAGGCATCGAGTCAACATAACGAGATACTTAATATTGGACTCACAGCATGGGCGATGCCGACGTAGTTACCCAGCCACGTGAGTTCCACACTAGCCTAACGTGGTTTAGGCGCGAAGGAAAAACGGACGGGTGAGTGCTTTCGGATTGACAGGTCCGCTGCGGCCTCCGACGGACTGACACCCGAGATCATCTCGGTTGCGACGAGCACCAGGGAGCCATGTGCATGCTCAAGCTGGTATGATACTGTGCGCGATGGGAATCGGGGTCTGAAAGTAAATTGAAGACAGTGGAAATGCACCGTACGGAAATTTTGCCCACGGATGCGAGCTGCGGGATCGGTCGCATAGAGTGCAGTACACTGATAGAGCTCGCTCCGGACAGGTGTGGCGATGAACTCTTTCGGCATCCTTTGTTGTCCTATTGGAAATTCGGAGACCCTGAAGGACTCAGTCAGCTCTACAACATGGCAACAGAGTTGATACCTGCGCAAAAAATTTAGTCGAAGAATGGAACTCACGAGAGGTGACACCGTGTGAGAGCTCAAAATGTTCGGGATCTGCAAGACGTGGTGACATCCGACCATCCAGCGGGTGGCGTCTCAGGGCGATAGCGATCATCCAGGGCCATATCCAGGGACACAGAGTAAACACAAGGATAGGATTCGACGTCAGTGTAACGGTCCGAAGGAGCTGCTATCAGGGCCCGGAGTGCCTAACCAGGAACCGCGAAGCGTCAGCAGAACGCCCCAGTTGTCGTGACAATCTTGAAGAGCGCGTGCAGCTGTGCTTGAAACTGGTGCGAGCGCCATGAATTTGAGAGCCAAGATTCAGCAGCGAGTCAACATTGGACGCTGGAATGGTGATGTCGGGCTTAGCATCGACCGGTGTGAAAAATTCCGGCATCGAAAGGCGCGTCACCGCCGCTCAACGCCTTCGTAGCGTAAGCGTAGATGTGCGGCAGCCACTCACGAGACAAGCACGCCCGTTGTTCCGCGGGCTCATGTGTAGTGAGACACATAGAAAGCGAGGTGTCATACGTTCTAGCTGATGCTGTGCATGAGTGCAGAACGCGAGACGATAATAGAAACTGATGCGACGTACAAGGCCACAAACACCGTTTTTGCCCGTTTCCGCGAGAACCAAGGACGTAAACATAAGCAGTCCAAACACAGTTGGTCCCTAGGGTCTGATGGTTTGACTGTGTGGACGGGGTGTACGCTTGGTAGGCTGAGAATACTACGAGTGCCTGGCTGCGGTGCCCAGTCCGTTTGCTGCCGAGGGTCGCCACAATCACGCCCTGTGTACTCCGCAGCCGCCCGCTCATGCAGACCCGGAGATTACTTGCGACGGTATCAGCGGGGAGAACATCATGGGCCCGAAGGTCCCGAACCGACGTCCTCCTATTTCAACTCCCAAGCAGGACGACGCCGGTATCTAATAATGGCCATGAGGAGCTAATGCCACAGTACCTGGAAGTCCACAACAGATAGGAACAAACAGAGGTGAAAAAATATGTAGTTTCGCGATGCTAATCCCTGGAAGTCAACTCTGGAAAGATTTGGTTTACACTCACAGCTATTACGAGACAAAACGCAGTCTAAGACGACAAGTGACTGTAAATTGAACAGAGAGTGTCATGCGAGATACTGAACTTCTCAATACGATGGTAAAACGGGCAGAGAAATGTTTTGTCGCTCTCGAGCCTTGTGTAGAGGACGCAGCAGACAAGAGGAGCAAAGCTAAATGATGCGCCTATCTCACTGGGCGCCCAATATAATCTTTAAGCGCTTGATACGTTCCGGCGCTTGCAGCACAGACGCGACTTGGCCGCGGCGACTGCTGTTCAGACCTTCTTACCGAATAGCACCGCGTAAATCTCCTTTGAAACACGAGCCAGAATGTCACTATTTGGATCGTAAGTAACTCCTGGCGGGCTTGGTCGAATAATCGGACAGTTCTCATTGCCATGTAGAACTACGATGAACCAACCACAGACTTCAATATTCGGTAGTTCCTTGGGCGGCCAACCCCAGTCACAGCTTGCTCAGGGTGGCTCATTATTTGGTGGCGGTAACGCAGGGCAACAGAATCAGCCACAGCAGGCGACGGGGGCAAGCCTCTTCGGAAGCACGCCTGGCCAGCAGCAGCAGCAGCAGACACAACAACACGCGCAAGGTGGATCCTTGTTCGGTGGTTTTGGGCAGAGCCAAAACCAACAGACAGGGCAGCAGTCTACTGCACCAAGCGGCTTCTTTGGCCAGCCCTCTGCACAGCAACAGCAACAACAGAACACGCCCGCCACAGGCTCTCTCTTCGGTGGGACTACGACCGCCCAAACTCAACCATCTGGGGGTCTATTCGGCAATCTCGGGACTAATACACAAAGCGCTGCGAATGCAAGTGCTCCTGGTGGTGGTCTTTTTGGCGGCGGGTCGACGACAGCCGGGTTTGGGAGTGGGTTTGGGAACAATCAGTCAACGTTCCAAAGGCAGCCCACGCTTCCTACTTTCGGTACCGGTCCTTCGTCCACCACAAACCCGCTGTTTAAGCCCCCAACACAACAAATGTAAGCCTGTTTCTCACTTGTCATGACGTTACGTCTGATTGCTGAGATGGCCACGGCAGGATCCTTGCGTACGTATGCCCGGCTCATCAAGCTGCCTTGCTTAGCTCAACGTTTGCAATATAGTTCTACAACACAGCCATCGCATGCTCCGTTTACGAAGTCGACAAAGTTCAATGATCTGCCTGAAGATGTGAAAAAGATGTTAGAAGCCGTCGAGTGCGTAATGCACTGCCTTGATCCTTCCACAGGCTCTTACCTATTCCAGTTCGTATATTCAGGGTCGGATCCAAATCAGCAATGAATTGAAACAGAGGAAAGTGGGGGAAGAAGCAACTAAGTCACAAGAGCTTATCCGCGGTGTGCATAAGGTGAGTGCGGGCTGTACCGACCGGGCAATTTCCATATGCTCAACTGGGACCCAACTAGGACCTCGTAAACATCGTCTCCGACCTGCAATCGGACGTACGGCATACCCACAATTTGAAGGCCAAGACCGATCAAACCGTGCAGGATACTATTGTCGCCACTCGCGTCATCGACGGTTTTCGGAACCCTCAGCAACACGGTGTGTACCTCAAGAATCACGCTGATTTCCCTTTGGAGTAAGCATTGTCCACTAGCTGCGGATGAACTACATTTGAACGGTGCTCTAGGTTCTTCCAGAGGGTCACCGATGAAATGCGGGAGCGACTCCGGTGGTACAAGGCCACCATAGAGGTATGCCCGACTCCTCCCGTATGGGTTCCATGCCACTAACTTTGCTGATTGATACAGCAAATCGAGCGCAAGCTTGCATCCGCTGCGGTACATAGCCAGGCTACGCCTCATGGTAAGCTCCGCCGGCTGTGACTGTCAGACCCTGTCTCACAACTGAATATCTCCAGCCATCGTATCAACGCTGGAAGCGCAGCATGCCACCTTTATGGCTCTGGCAAACAGGACCGCAGCCGTCGATGCCGAACTGCAGAAGATTAAGATGCTTTACACCCAGCTCTGGCGGGCTAAGACGGGAAGCATGCGGGACCCATTCAACGACCTTGACCGCGCGTCAGGAGATTTCGGGCTCGAGAGTTTGAGCGGAAAATAATGTAATCTTGGTGATGCTACGGTACCTGGCTGCGCATTATTTACTGCCGCGACGCTGAGATTGCTTTACGATGACTGTAATCATGCGCCGTATTACGAATCAGGGCGTCCACTCGAGCGGGCAGAGCGGCGGGCGATGCCTTGGATAACCGCCCAGTCTGCGCTTGCGCGGCACATCTCCCTGAAGACCCCTCCCTGCTTGCTAATCAGCGCCTCCGGCGTATCAAACTCGAGGATCTCCCCATGCCCAAGAACCAGGATGCGATCATAGTCGAGAACAGTCTTCAAGCGGTGCGCTATGGTGATGACGATCGCACCGGCGAATTCTTCGCGGATGGTACGCTGGATCTGCGACGGGAAAGGCAGCGCACACCAGCGCGCGTCAGCAGAACGGATAGACCACGCGGGACAAACACATACCTGGTCATCGAGGGCGGTGTCGATCTGCGATGTCGCCTCGTCCATGATAACGACGTTGCTGCGTCGGAGCACAGCACGTGCGAGCGCGACAAGCTGCCGTTCGCCCGCGCTCAACGACCCGGTCTGACTAATGGGCGTGTCGAGTGTGATGGCTACGGCGTTCGCCTTTCCATCAGGGCCGCTGAGCACGGACACAAGGTGGCAACGCTCGAGAACCTCCCAACACTCCGCGTCGGTATGCTCGGAAAAGGGGTCCAAGTTGCTGCGTATGGTGCCTGAGAAGAGGGAGACGTCTTGGCTCACTATGGTCTATCATATTCCGTGGTCACCAGCTCGGCGTCGGCGTGAAGTTTCAGCGAGACAGAAACACTTACGACGCGCGTTCTGAGATCATCAAGGCCGATGGACTGAATGTCTATACCATCCAAGCTAGACGCATGTGAATACCTGAAGGGATTATGCAGAAAGCGGTGGCGATGGCTTACACGATCGACCCGCCCGATGGTTCTACGATCCGAAGTAGTGATAGCGCGAGCGTTGATTTCCCTAACAGATATAGATGAGCGAGAGTTACGACGTGGGTTTAGTATAATTAGGATTGTGCACCGGAACCTGTCCTCCCAACGACACCAATCTTTTCAGCGGGGTGGACCGTGAATGAAATACCGTTTAGGACCGAGGGAAGATCGGGGGCATATCTGACCTCTAGATCCTCGACACGGAGTTCACCATTGCTGGAGGGCCAATAAGCCGGAGGCCGACGGTCTAGAATGATCGCTTGAGCTTCTTGTGGGACCTCGAGGTACTCAGCAATCCGTTCGACGCTGTTGAAGTCCAGCTCAAGCTGTGCAAGAACTCTAAAATGATCCCGATCAGCATGTCGTAAGACAGGGAAGGAAGCATAGGACGTACTTGACCAATTGCCTTGATGCGTCGGCGAAGTTCTGGGATTGGACAATCACAAGCGCGGCCAGGCCGTCCCCAATGCCGCTCCATAGGGCAAACATCGTCGTTGTAAACACGACCAAAGATCCGAGACCTGCCGAGCATGGCTGTGAGTACCAATCCAGTAGTTCTTGTATTATTGTGTGCCAGCATCAGGACGGATTGACTTACAATCATATCGCCACATCAACCAGTTTGAGACGAGCCACTGAGTTCCACCAAAAAGTCAGTGTCCACCCAATCGACGATAGTAATGGAGACACACGCACATATACATGATCAAACGACTGAAACTTGTCGACCCGCTTGTAGAAATGGTCCTGATACCGTGATTCCATGGCAAACGCACGCACGTGGGGGAGTCCACGGAGGAGCTCATCAAACCCGGCGAAGGCGGGCGAAAGCGAGATGGACTCGAGGCGGCGGAGGTCTCGCGAAGTCTTAATGTACGGCGGAGCCAAACGGATGTACAGCCAAGCGATGACCAACGCGAACGGCGCAAGCGAAGGAACGACGCAGATAATCACTAGGAAAGATGCGACGAAGTTCAAGACGCCGGCCAGAGCTGCACGGAACGGGTTTTGGAGCTGTCCGTCGATAGTATTCATGTCAGACGTCCACCTGTTTAGGATACGGCCGATGGGTGTCACATCGAAAAAGCGGGTTGGTGCCGCAGTTAAGCGAGCAAGCATAGCAACAAACAGCTTGCGGGACGCTTGCAGGCTGGAGTAGAAACCAAGCGCAATGTATGCGAGGACGGAGAACGCGCCGACCATGGACAGGTAGAAGTAGATCATCAGCCAAGGAACGACGTTTTGGTTTGGAGACGGTAGATGCTCCCAAGGCCAATGCAGAGGACCAAATAAGGCGTTAGACGCTACGCTCTTCTCGTATGCCTCTCCCCATCTCGCCAGGTAGAACTAGGGAAGTTTACTGAGCTTATTGATACAAGTAGGAAGAAGTTAAGGCGCACCTGAACCCCAATATTGATCAGACGAATCTGTATGAGCAGCCACAGGGTGAGGAGGGAGCAGAACACTCCAGATGCGCGGATATAAGTCAGGTAGCTATGCATAGAGACCCGTCCTTCCGCCCTTGCCTCTGCCTGGACGAGCCTACCATCTGAAGGCTTTCGATCGTATTTTCCGTTCGTCTTTCCGTCAACAAGATCTGCCTGATTCTCAACAGGAGCAGAGGCGAGTGTCTCCTCCTCGGGCTCTTCAACGATATCTTCCTTCTCAACGACCTGCTGGAGGACGCCCCGCTCCCGAAGCTCCTGAACAGTGCCCTGCTGTACGATTTTACCAGTTGAGAGCTCAACGAGGAAAGAGGAGTACGGAAGGCACAAGCTGATGTGGTGAGTAACAAGCAAGATTGTTCGGCCTTCAGCGAGATCGCCGGTCAGTGCGTTTCTGACAAGGTGCTGGGCAGTGTGCATGTCTACCGCGGCAAGGCTATCATCGGTCAGCCGATCTGTTCAGGCTCCATATGCAGCATGAGCTCACGGGTCATCGAGGATGATCAACTAGGCCACAATGTCAACAAGGTGGTGACTGAGCATATAACCAACATACCGAGGCAGGAGAATACAGAGCTCGAGCCAGCGCAATTCTAGCCCTTTGTCCGCCGGAGAGTGTAATCCCTTTCTCACCGATTTCTGAAGAACTTGCGTTAACAATCATGATCGCTACGACCCGGAGCATAAGCCCACCGGTCATATCACCAGCATCGAAGACTTCGAGGTCCCGCGACAAGGCACAAGCATCGATGACGGCCTGATACCGGGCTTCATCAAAACCTTTCGCGGAACTGAACACAATGTTGTCTCGAATCGTGGCATGCTCTAACCCTGTATGTACGCTGTCAATCAAGGCGAATCCAGGCTAGATAATGCACACTTACAAGGGTTCTGCGCACAATATGCGACCTGGTGCCCCCACTTGTTGAGCATGACACGTCCGGACATACACGTCATCTCTGAGAATAAGTTCATCAGCTCACGCAGCGAAGAGTCCCAGCATGTAGACGAACCGCCCAGCAGAGCGTTGAGCAATGCACTTTTGCCCGAGCCAGTGGACCCACTGATAAGGCTAAGCTGATTCTTCGGGAACTTGACGTTTAAGGGCCCTAGGGTAAACCGAGCCGGCTCGCTACGGGGCGCAACGTCCCATTGAAAAGAAGCGTCCTCGAAGCCGATTTCTGGGACTCTTGAAACCGAGCTCCCAGAAGACTGTAGAGATGACGCCCAATCGGGCACCTCAGGCTCTTTGAGGAAGGTTTCGATACGCTGCATACTGACATAGGCTATGACTTCGCGTTAATGACGATCAGATTCGATCAAGGAGCAAAGACAGACCATAGAGTAGAGCAAAGATCTGGTTTGGAAGGTCAGTCATCGGCCCCTGAAGCTGGCTGAAGAGCGCAATAGAGGTGAAGGCCTTCGCTACAGTCAGTTTCTGACCCGCAACGAGTGTGTAGCACAGGAATGTTAGCAGCGCTGTGGCAGACGGCATCCAAATCCTACGAGTATCAGGTTAAGCGGAAGCTTACGTTGAACGCCAGGGACACCTACCAAATGAAAGATATCACGGTGCTGACAATATTCTGTTTCACGCGCCAGCGCAGTTCTGTCTCTCGTGCTTCGCGCACTTTGGATGACCAGCCCGTCTCTAACGAACCTGTCATTATACAGCGATAGCGGAGAATGTTGTATGCACATACCCCAGCCGTAGAACTTTAAGAATCTGATGTTTTGGAATAGTTCATTTACAAGACTCATCCGCTTGTCTCTCGCGGCCCAAGATCGTCTCGTGATCTGCAACGAGAGGTCTCAAATTCTGTGAGATGTTCTGTAAACGTGGACGAACGTACATAGATGTTGTATTTTGCAAGAGGGTAGTTGAAGACATATGCGACCAGCACTACGACCACACCAGCCAAGGCACTCCAACCTAGGATACTATCCGAATTTATCAGGTACTGTAACTGTGACAATATGAACGCTTGAATAGACTTACTTATAGAGAAAAATGAGAGCGATGGTGAGTCTGACAGGCGAGAAGAAAACACCTGAGAACTCCCAGAAACGCTGAGCGACAGCGTATGCATCTCCCCTTCGCGAACGTGGTAGTGAGAAATCGCGCAAGTACATACGGGTGAACGAGACTTACTGCATGAGGTTAACAATTTTGCCGAGGTCCGCACCGGCCTTTTCGTCTTCCTTGCCGTCTTTTGACTTCTCCGTAGCTTGTCCGCTAATATCACATCTCTTCAATGCCTTGTAGTGCAGAGCGCAGAAGAGTTGGCCCCGAGTACGCTCATAGCACCTTCTAGTATGCCATCGCTGGAAGACGTCGACTTGAGCAAAAGAGAGATTGCTGAGGAAGAAGACGAAAGTCCATAAATACGCCGTTGCACGAGAATTAGGTGACGATTCGGCCAAGGCGGCAAGGATACGCTGCAACGCGTATGGCGGAACGAAGCCTGGGTATACCAGCGCAGTCAGATGTCCGCTGAAGGTTCGTGTGCTTGGAAACTGACCAATTATGGCACTCCAAAGCTCAAGTAGAATATCTAATATGAGGTCTAGAGAGTTCGACGCGAGCAAAAACCAAAGTAGAGAATGATTGGGATGTCTATCACATGGCAGTCAGTCACGTTCCTCTTATAGCGGTGGTTACCATTCACCTTTTGGCATATGTGAGATACTTCGTGAAAAGATTTTTATGCAGGAAGAACGGCGAGAGAGCCCAAACATCTTCCTCATTAAGAGTTCTCTCATTCGCGACCTTAAAGAGAGGTTCCACGAAAGTGACCATGCACCATGACCACAAGTGAACGCCGTCTTCGGGCATGGTCAATCCATGAGATGGGACCTGTTCACAGCGCGATATAGGCATATGAAGTATATTTGAACGAGTAAACAGAAACCATACATCTTTTTCTTGAGCAACATTCGGCGCAGGCATCACTCGCTCCATGGGAAACGTCCCGCCAATCCAAAGTGAGGCAGCTGGTACCGCCAGACGGAGCACATCTATGAGAATAGCAACTGCGCCAGCGAAATGACGTGTCAGGGTATCTGCAGCGAGGTCCACGAAGGCCGCTGTCGCGTATGACGTGTAAAACAATAGCAGGCAGTACGGTGGGGTGATAGGTGGCTTATACACCAGACGGATAGCGACGTAGGCCTGGTAGAGGCGATCTGAGCATGTTCCACTCATGGACGATCACGAACATGGTTCGGCACTCACCCAACCGCAGAATTGCGCATCAGCGTGCAAGAGCTCCCATTCACCCAATTCGCCTCCGGAAATGCCATATGCCAGGAATCCGGCCCATCCGGCAGCAGCCAGCGTAGCGAGCACGATCAAGGCGCGAGTTTTCCATGCCGACGGTTTCTGAGGTGGCCCCAGCTCGCTGTCAAGGTCTCTAAGAGTGAGGAAGTCCCTGAAGGGTGATTTCAGCCCGTAAGCAAGCTTCCAGAGGGAATGTGGCCAGGGATAGGATGATATGAGGTCGTAGAGGATGGTCAAGAGCACCACGGCACCAGGCAGTATCGTCCCCAAGTAGAGTATGCGAGTCCTCGGAGGTATCCAGAGATCGATGATGTCATCCACGTCGTCTACAGTCGAGTTCCATGGTTTTACGTGCGATGCGAGTGCAGTGAGGACCAATTGCGAGTCCATTGCAGCCGTCGAGGATGCGGTCGGAGAGCAACCTGGCGACCCGGAAGTGTGGCTGCCCGCGCGTCCGAGGACTCAGAAAATTGAGCACAGCGTTTGGCATATAGAGTTAGCGTTCGCAGGCCACGATGTCAAGTTTCTCGTAAACGGTCCACATGCGTTCTGCAAAGTGGATTCTAGGTACGGCACGCGGAGGCAAGGGAAAGAAACAAGTTAACAAAAATCACAAGGTCAATAAGCTCGACAGCGGCCGGATGTGCGGCCCGATAGCTGAGTACAAAACTTGAAGCTGAAGCTTAAGCTTGAAGCTATGGCGCCTGCCAGTCGATAAATTCCGTCGCCGGGCTCAATTTGATTAGAATAAGACCAGCCATTATATCATGTATAGCGAGGAGAACGCAAAGGCAAAATCAGGATACATATGTACCTGGCAACAGCCCCCCCTCAAAGCAGGCGCCTCAAGCCAATCTTCCGACCCAGCAAAAATTCTCGATTGGAGCGGAATGAGACAGCGTGTATGGTGAATTCAGAATAAGACAATAGATATTAGATTTCTAGAGTTAAAGGTAAGTATACGTCGGATGTGCTTCAAAGCAGAAAACGCACCACAGATGATACTAGGAACGTCTCACACGTAAGACTCCAACGAGACCCCAGCTTCGAACGCTTGCGCAAGCTCACGCTCGTAGACGTTCTTGTTCTCTGATCCCTCGACAAAGTATTGGATGGCAGAGTGCAGCGGGTCTGGGAAAATAGATGTCAAATACAGTGTAACCAGCTCCTCGCGACCCTTGATGCTGGGGAAAGGCGACTTAGTGCACACATGCGCGAAAGAAGCCTATAAAACATACGTGACACGTGCAACTTTGCCGTCAACAGTGACATTGAAACTGCGTCTCGACTCGCCGTTGAAAAACATGTCAATGACCTGACCGACCGGGATCCCCAGCGCGGGGATTGCGTCCGGGCGAGCGATCTCGAGGCCGATCGTAGCGGCACGCAGGGTGTCGTTGACAACTTTACACTTCGTTCGAAATTGGACAAAGTCGTCTGTACCGTTAGCAGCTGTCGCAGAGGGAAAGAAGTCTCTGATCTGGATGACTGTGCCGTTTACCAGCTTCAAGCTACGACGCCTTTTCAGCAAGCTCTCTCACTTAATGAATACCGCATACGTACTCGTTCACTGTAACATTTTCACCGAGTTTGCTGAATGTCACGGTGTAGGACCCCGGGATAATGGTCGTAGTGTAGGTGCTTCTGGCATTGACTACGAACATCGAATTCATGGGTTCCGAAATGGTCACTGCAACGGCAGCGGGGAAACTGTTGACGAAGCTTGCGGTGGCCATAACTGTAGTAGTTGTAGTGCTTGTGGGAGATGAGAGGTTGAGAACGTTCTGAGGAGCACAGCACTCATGGCTTGGTTAAATAACACGCGAACGCGGAGCCAGGTCCGATCTTCGACTGCACCAGTGCTGTGCCGTTCTGGGCTGGAAAATTCCAAGAGGTATCGTGCGTACGCCTCATCAAAATTGCGTTTCTCAGCCGGCCACAGAGGGCCAGCTCGATCTGCATGGGATGCGCCGGCCGCAAACCGGAGATAGCTGCCAACGGTCGTGGATTTTGTGAGCCGAACATCACTAGGGCAGAAAAACCGGTGTTAAGTGTGAGCTGTCCTACTCGGCGACCGATGGACGCATATGATGACAGATGGTAAGTGCAAGCAATCTGCTAAGCTTCGGCGGTGTGAGGTTCTTGTCCGCTTGGGTTGATTTTTGCGCCGATGGTTCACGGGGTAATTGACCCGAGTGCGGTGTGCATACTGTACGATGCCGTTGGGAATCGTGGGAAGAAACGATCTTGTGCAAGGCACAGTACTATCCTTTAGATGCGGATATTGCGAGGTTAGCTTTTTTACAAGACCAGGGCTGATGTACTACCAGTACTACAGCTGACCATGACGCTGTGCCAGCATCAGGATCGGACGCCACCAGCTCTGCCGCCCGCCCGTGCGAAACAAGCCGACTCTAGACTGTATTATTTCTGTACCTGGCCTAGCATCGGACAAGCAAGCAAAGCGCCAGGTCTGTTAAAGCACCGAGTGGCGAGGCACACTCCGATGTGAAGATGATGATCACCCTCGGCCTGCCTAACACCGGAGATGAAGAGAATTAACTGCCCGCAGACTGGCATCTGGGAGTGATCCCATGAAACGGAGAAATAAACTCATCGGCGGATTGTGAAGAAGCACCGGATGACTCATGATCCTCAACGGACTAAGCCGCCCTTGCGTTCTGAGGATAGCATTCGTCTAGTGCTGGCTCAGTATAAGACGAAGGGCCTCTCAGCCTGATCAGTCCTCATTTAGCTATCTAGCAGCAAAGCAGAAATGGCCACTCGCAACCTTTCTTTCGTCATCACTAAAGCTCAGGGCGTAAGCGAGAACACGAACATCATCCTGACGTTCGTTCCCGTTGATGAAACTGACCTATATATCAAGCAGCGTGAATGCACACACCTATTGCAGAGGCGGTAACTGACCTGTCGATTGTGAAGTTCCTGTTGTCTGGAAGGTCCTCAAGTTTGCTGCAAATCGTAAGGTGTTTTGTCGTCACATTTTCGACTTTCAGCTTACATTGGGCACAGAGACGCAAACGATTAATGTCACCTACACCGCAAGACTTGGCGTTGCCGTGTTGTGATATTCGAGGCTTCCGCAGTCATTCCTATTTTAGATATTGTATGCCCGTCTTAGACATGACGCGTACAGAGCACTCTCGGCTCTGGCGCCCGTTCACTCCCCGCTCGTGTTTCCTCCAGTCTCAGCTTCCTAACGCACTTTGTATTTGACTGAGTATATTAGGAAGTAAATAAGCTATATAAGAACATGTAGTATTATTCTTGGAATTTATCCTTGATTACTCGTGAATCCCCCACCTGTTGCGAATTCCACTCACAACATGCTATTGCCCAGATTGTGCATACACAGCAGCCTATAATTGGAGTGATAGCATATTCATAGCATGTTTTTTCTAGGACGCAGGCTTGGTCCAGATCCCACAGATGTGAGCGCCTCACTCTATAGCATGGTTTTGATGGCTGATAGTCTGTGCATCCTCTAGTTTCATCGAGATGGGGGTAAGCCTGAGTATATGTCGAGATCCGCTAGAGAAAGCCCACTGACATTGCGTGACTACATGTCTCAGTTGGGCCAGATAGCGATTTGACTGGCTCAGCTTCAAGCCAGCAAGCCAAGCCAAGCCTGCACAAGCCGGGCCAAGCCAAGCCAAAGGGTGCCGGCTTGGAAAGGCTTTTGGCTTGGCTTGGATGTCAAGCCAGCCAAGCCAAGCTGGCAAGCCACAGCTTTAGATAATAAACTCACTGTATGTAGTACTGTTGAAGCGCTTAGTGGCTCTGGCTCGGCGTTCCGCCCGGCATGGACTTAAGGTGGACATCTTAGATTAGACGCTGCTAATACGTAGACAGTGATTGGACAATCATATGTAGTGTTCCCACGCACAGACCTCTTTATGGCAGGCTTCCCCATTCCAGCGGACTTTCAAATTTGCTTCCTTTTAGTATATAAGAACTCCTCTCACATCCCCACTCTGCGTGCTCTTTCCCTTCGCACTCAGAGTAAGTCCCTTCGTCGCCCTTGCGCAGTATGCACTTATGCTTACACCCTGTATAGCTAATCCCCCGTGTGTATTAGGTTAGATCTATACAGCGTGCTCTTTCCCTTCGCACTCAGACTAATCCCCCGTGTGTATTATATCGTGTCTGCGTGCCACTCGCCAGTTCGCGCTTGCGCAGCCCAGTCGTCGTACCACGACAATAGGTTATGAGCCCCGGCTTGTAACTGGCCCCCATCTACCCTCCATCCCTCACGAGTCTTCACTCAGAGAGATCCGGCACCAGCCGCACATTTGCTCCATAACACCTCAGGGTCTTTACCCCAAGTGTTACTCCACATCGCAACACGGACACTAGAGATCCTCTAGTGCATGTCTAGTTCATCTGCATCACGCCCACCTTCACCAACTGCACCGACACCTGCACCTGCACCTGCACCCCGTCCTACACGTCGCACTCCCGCCGCTCCCGCTACATCATCTCAATCCGCGTCCACCGCACCACGCCGAACAACAACCATGTCCTCCGCCTCCACATTCGCATCAGCCACCGGTCCGCCGTCGATGAAGCTCGATGCGATCGGGAAGCTCAAAGGTTCCAGCGACTACCCACGCTGGTCCCTGATGATGCAGCAGTACTTCATTGCTGCACGCGCATGGAAGGTCATCGACGGCACCGAGAGAGCCCTCGTCCAAAGCAGCACAGTCTCCGCTGCGGACGTTGAAGCATGGGAGACGACAAATGCATACGCGAGGTTTTACATCCTCAGCACGCTCGGCGACGAGCTCCTGCACCTCGCAAACCCAGTGGACATCACAGCCGCCGCACTGTGGAAGAAGCTGAAGGACAATTACGCCGCCTCCACCACGATGTCGGCATTTGTCAAGTTTCGTGCGTACTTCTCGCACGCGATCACGGACAGCGATGACCTCGCTGCCCAACTCGACGAACGCGCCCGACTCTGGCAAGAGGTCAGCGCCTCTGGGATATTCCAAACCCCGGAGCTCCTGCAGATATTCGGCCTGCTCACGGCTCTCCCCGACTCATTCAACAACGTCGTAGAGCCCATCCTCGCAGTCACCAAGCCCGCCAACCTGAAGCTCGACGACATCCGCAATTGTCTCCTCGG